AATATAGAGGATGATTGAAGGTTGAAGATTGTGTGATCAACTAATATTCAACATGTGTTTATATAAAGGATGATTGATGAAAGTTGAAAGATTGCTAAAAGTTGAACGATTGGTGAATGTTGAAATTTTGGTGAAAGTTGAACGATTGGTAAAAGTTGAAAGTTTGGTGAGTTTCATGTGTCGATTTAGTTATTTTTCAATATTTATCAGAATTTAAATATTTTTAGATTAAAATGTTCATAAAATTAATTTACGATAGTCTACATAATTTTTTTAAAAGGTTAATTTAAGAAAAAAAATTAGCCTAAGTTCATTCTTTAATAATCTCAGTGTAAAATTTTAGGCCAGAAGGGTTGGAGCAGAAAAGTTATTTTTGGGCTAAAAATTTTAGGTTTTAGGCCAAGGGTTGGAGATGGTCTAACAAGGACAAAATAATAATAATAATAATAACCAAAAAATAACCTCACAAAAGCGAGTGCATTGCAAATTTTGTAAACTTACCATATATATTGTAGCAGCCCACATCTTTTATTATTATTTTCTTTAGTAACTTCAAACCCTAGCTTCATAGCTCCACGTGCCTCCTTCCTCTTTCTTTATTTCATGTTTAGGAGCTTTAATGATGATAGTTAGTACTTTCAATGCTCCCCTCATATTCCCACTCTCGCCATTTTTAACGAAAATGTAATAAACTATCTCCCATAATAATATTAACTGATGATTTCCTATTTGAACTTTTTGTGAGAATGGAATAGGCTCTCATATTTCCTAAAATTAGAGAAATACATGCTCTCTTCAGACTTAAATGACTAATTGCTTTGGATTACACTTCCTGAAGATATTCGACCATCATAATACTTTTGACGACATTCTCATGTATAGAATAATTATTTGGGTTTGCTATTCATTGTTCGAATGTTCACGACTCATCCATTAATCAGTATAACAACTAATCATTTGTATCTAGTTAATGTTGATGACATGCCTTTTCCAAGTTTATTTTTCAAACCATTGGCCACTAATTTCTTGGCCCCCAAAACCATAGATGTTAGTGTGCATTTTCCAGTTGAGCTTCATCTATTGTCCATTGTTTTCTCTACCCTGGTTAATGAAATAGCGATAGTACTAGTGTTCAATTTAATAAATAGTTAGTGTTTAATTTATGAAATAGTGATAATATTAGTGTTTAGTTTAAGAAATAGTCAATGTTCAGTTTACGAAATAATGATAGTATTAGGATTCAATTTAAGAAATAGCTAGTTTTCTTTTTAAGAAAAAGTGATAATACTAGTGTCTGGTTTAAGAAATGGTTAGTGTTTTGTTTACGAAATAGTGATAGTATAAGTGTTTGGTTTAAGAAATAGTTAGTAATTTACGAAATAATGATAGTACTAGTTTACGAATTAGTGATAGCAATAGTGTTCGGTTTAAGAAATAGTCAATGTTTAGTTTACGAAATAGTGATAGTATTAGTGTTCAGTTTAAGAAATAGTAAGTATTCAGTTTACGAAATAGTCAATGTTCAGTTTAAGAAATTGTGATAATACTAGTATTCGGTTTAAGAGTTAGTCATTATTTGGTTTGAGAAATAGTTAGTGTTAAGTTCTAAATATAATCAGTGTTCGATTCTAGAAATAATCAATGTTCAGTTGTAAAAATAACTAGTGTTAACATAACATGACACAAACTTAAAAAATTGTCCAAATTAAAGATAAAATCACTATTTTGAAATTAAAATAAGCATTGTTTATGAAACTAAAAAATGAAAATTTTTCTTTACTTTTTGTCTTGTAATATTATTACTTAGTTTGTTCCAAAAAATTTATGGAATAATGGTCAAATAAACATACAATAAAATAAAAAGTAAAAATTGCAATATTTATGGAGTGAGAGTAGAGTCATATGAGAGATGAGAAAACAAAAAAAAAGTTAATATGAATAGGTAAGATCAGAGGAGAGAGAAATTTAATGGGAATATGTGAGAGAGAGAGAGAGAGAGAGAGAGAGAGAGGAGCTAATAACGGTGGATGGAGAAAGAGGGATGGAGGGAAAGTGTGTGGAACTGAGTGATGTGACGCACGCGTTAGATTTTATTTTTTTAATTATTATGTTAAACTTTTATCATTTTTATTAAAACTTAAGTTATTTTTATTAAAATTTAAGTTTTTTTTATTAAATAAAGTTAGTGAATGATTTTTTGTTAATAAAAAGTTTAGAAAAGCCTTTTTCATTAAAGCTCAATTTTATATAACCATACATGTATTATATATCTCAAGTCTCACCACGTAATTATACATCAGTGACATCTTAGCAAATCTTTTATTTGAGCTATAATACGCGTAGCATCAAATACTTGTGAACCTTTTTACAAATAAAAAAAGAGTCTGTTCTTTCATATACCAAAATTATATCTTTGAGAACAATTTGAACTTTTTAATTACTATAAGAAAAATATATACATATATATGGGCAGGATTCGTGGCACTGCTTTTCTTAAACAGTTTTTGACACACGTTTTTGTAGGGCCCATTTAGTAATATATTTTAACGATTTGAACCGTCTATCTTTTAGAACATTATTCATAGATCATCTTTGTAAAAAATTAGACAAATCTAAAACCATTAAAACATTAATTTGTAGAAACAAAAAATGTTAAATACATTTCTACAAAAAAACCCTAAACCCTTAATACAAAATAGTGCCATAAATTCGTCTACGTATATACATCTTTAGGTTCACAAGGGGTCCTCCTAGTACGGAAGTTTTAAGTTTGTAAACTGTGGGTACATGGTCAAGATATAGATTTCACTATTTAAGGGCAGAGAATAAATTCATAGCAAACAAAACAAAGAAAGCTAAAAAGGCCAGAGATCGAATAAAGTTTTGGGTGAAATGGGAGGATACCGTCGACCTGTACAACCAATTAGTTTATAGTCAATTGTTCCTTTTGGTAAAAGTAAAGGTAAATTTCGAATAAACTAATCTTCAATCAAGTCACCATCTTTTAGATTGGAACATATTATTATTGGGGTTGTTATCAACATACATACAATCTCCATTTTCCATTCTTGTCGCATTTGCGGACACTTGGAAACTTATCATTCATGGAGCCAAAGATAATGATAATATTATCTTACATTCTACCATACATTTTTCAATGTGCACCGAACACGAGGACACCTTATGTTATTGTACAATTTGAGAGACACTTGAAACAAAAAATTCCTCCAATTAAATAATGACATGTAATGTACTGCTTTGTGTTTTGATCAGAATGAAAATTCTCTCACGTTCTATAATTCTATGAGCAAGAAGATAACCCTAATTTTCTATACTTCAACGGGTGAACCACAGATACTAGTTTATTTATGAACTCTTGGATTCATGATTATGTTTCTATATGTATTGATAAATTATCAATCATCTATTCCAACAAAAAGAAAAATAAAACGACTAATGAGGATTGAGTTGGTAATGTTTGTTTTCTTCGTTATATCAAGACTTAGGTTCGAAATCCACTATCAACAATTTCTCTTGGTGAGAGATCTGTAAGAATCAAAAAAGGGGCTAGAACCCTTCCGTGAGTCTTTAAAGAACCTAGTGGCTGTGGCATGCTCTGGCCCTGGTACGGAGTAGGTCTCTCCTCCCCTGAACTCTTTGCAAACAAACAAAAAGAAAAATAAACTAACAAGCAACCCTAGCGTAGGATTCATTTAGCGTAGAATTCCTTTTTTCAACATGGAAAATTGTTGCATCACATCCCGTACAAAATGTAAAGCAGCTAGGAATGTTCATTGGTTTAGAAAAATCTAGCCATTCAAGATATGTACGGTTTTAATAAATGCTGCTTTGCATGGAGACGCTCAAGATCATTTAAACTTACATGCGAAGCTTTATTTTCTTGGCACGGGATTCACTTTCTCAATGTAAAACATCACATTCAACATAGAAATTAAAACAATTACGAGCGCTCGTCGATTTATAAAATCTAACGAATCCACATTTGATCCAATATATATTTTGGATTGTTGATTTTCAATCCAAACCAACCCAATTCCTTTTATTGGTTTGGATTGGATCTCCATTTTTAATAGTATGAAACATAAATACATCAAATGTGAAACAACTTTCGTCGAGTCTAATTCAGTCACAAGTTCTAATCGATATAGGTGTAAAAACAAAGATTAAACGCTAAAGAAAAGTGTATTCGTTTCACATTATATTAAATGTAGTTCTATCAAATAGTTTAAATTGTTCGTTATATATTAAATTTAATAAACATACCAGAGAAAACTTTATTGGATTCGATTGGATTCTCACAAGCAAATACGCCATCGGATCCATTTACGTTGGTTTGTTTTGGATTGGATTGGATTTGATCGCTTTGTTGAATTGGATTGATCACTTGGTTTCATTAGAATAACAACTTTGTCAAATGCAGTTCATATGAACATGTTTATCGAGAAGAAAATCAAGTTATTGATTCTTTAGCTTCATTTCGGGCAGATAGTTATGTCTATCACTGATTTTTTACGGTTCCAGATTTTGTTGCCTTTACCCTTGCTAGTGATATTTCATTTTGTCTTTATTATCAGTTTCATTGATCATTTGGTCATTACGGATTTTAACTTAGTCCCCCACTTGTATTTTTTCATTTACTTTCCTTTGTATTTCTTTAGAAAAATGGTGGAGGAGGGACCCAAGGGGTTTGGGCATAATAGTCCTCATCCCTTCATGTGTAGGTAGGTGCCTCGTAAGCGACCATTGCCAAAAAGCTAATCTCGTATAATCTAAGCTAATCTCATCTAATCTTTCTCGATTAAATTTTTATTTTAAAACAACCCTAAAAGTTGCAATCTAGGTAGGAAAAAAGTTGAATTTCAGGGTCTAAAATCAAAATTATATTGATAGGTTAAGATCCTCGCCTCTTGTCCATGCATAAACTTCAATTCTTTTACGTTGAAAGCTCATTATTACTAGAAATATAATAAGCAGTTAAATAAACAACGCCAAATTTTAACAAGATTTTAAATTTTAAGTATTACAGTCATACCACGAAAACATCATATAAAACCAAATATAAGCAAGGAGTGCAAATAAATTAATTTTCCGTACGCTGATGAGCAAGTAAATATGCTTTATTCATCATATCTTGATCCTGATCGGAGTTCCGCACGTGTAGCTAATGGTGCAAGTTTCTCCGACAACCACGGTGTACGCATGAGCAGGCCTAATGAGGAAGTTAGGCAGGTGAACCAGCAGCTCACACACACATTGATTGTCCAGCTGGGTCAACCACTTACAACAGTTATCCTCTGCAGGAATGGGTTGATGATCATGATGACTGTGCCTGTGATGGACACGTCTATGTCCGTGGTTGTGTCCATGTCCGTGACCGTGTCCATGGCCCCGGCCATGTTCCTCTTCCTGTCCTTCATCATCATCGGGGGGCGAAGGGGGAGGGGAGGGGGGTGTTGGTGGGGGCGTCGGAGTAAAGGGGAGCATCGAGCAAGCATAGTTAGCAAGCACAAATTGCGATGCACAGAGAGGGCGCGCAGGCGGGAACACATGCTGCGCCTTCATCTTCGGCAGGAAGAGCAAGGAAGCTGCAAACAAGGTTAAAGTAAGAATCCTGACTCTCTCCATGACCATTTCAGCTATCTTCTTCTTCGGCTAATTCGTCTATTTATACACTGTTGTGGTTTCACAAGCTTCTTGTTTTCTTAGTTGTTAGGCTCTCTTTGTGGGTAATAATTATAAATAAAAGACTAATTAAAAAAGTAATGGAGATTACCGAGGGAATGAGGTTTAGGTTCCCATTCATTTGGTGTGATGACTCTGTTTGCGTTAGGTGACATGCAAACTCTCCCAAATAGTGTTTCCACAACCGACCTTGCTCCTACCAAACTGCAAGAACAGAAATTACATTATAAGTGTCATTTCCCTGTCAATTTAGCAGACATTACAAACACTACCATCCTGTCTGGTCGCAACATAGAGATAATGAAATACACATGAATTCGATGCATGCCCCGTTTCCAGGATTGTTCAAAGAAATGAAACGGTTACAGCTAAAGCTCAAATGAAGATTGAGGGAGGTAGAACTTCCGGTTCATTACCGAAGGCTATACAGAAATGCAGAATAGGAAAGCTAAAAAGAGATGAATTCAGTTACCATTGGTAAATAGAATAGCATTCACTTCCAACGCGGTATAAACTAACTGATGCTCTAAACAGAAGCAAATTCATCATAACCATTTTCAGTGGATATTCCCTTTAGAAGTCGGAATGTGTTCATTGTCTAATAAATCAATCGCCAGCATTAATACATCAATACTTAGTTGCACTTTGCCTGCACAATACAAGATCAATATTTGCTAAAATTGTGTGATATTGCGAATACAGTAAGTGTTGGGATGGAACTGAATGTGAGAAACACATTGTGCATGATTACAAATCCATGACAATGTCGCATCACATAGGCGAGCATGCATCCCAAAATGTCATAGTGCTTCCGTCAATAATTTCCATTTTCATGAACTGTTGTAGAATCGAATAAAAACAAACACAAATTTAATATGGCACGCAAAAAAAGCAGTTCCATCCTCCATCAAAGATATTCAGGTACACCAAGAATCACTACAATATTTGAGACGAAATTGGTTAATTAAAAACAACAATCCCTCACAACCGAGATCATCCAATACTTTCAACACTATTTGCAGCTCAATGTCAATACATATGATTAAGAACTAATTCCTCATTACCTGTCATCTAGTTGCAAATTTCACCGCTTCTTGATCACCAACCATGCACTTGTCCTATTCTTCGTTCCTCATAGCCATTATTTCCTTGTTCTTCTCAACCTCTTCCCTTTGCAACCCCAAATGCTCTCATCTCTCCCTCCATCCCTCCTCCAATAGCTCCGCAAACTTGTCCTTTATCTCAAGCAGTGGATCTCGGTCAATCAACTGATCATCCTTGTACGCTTCCCTCAGCACCGCCGTCTTAATCCCTCCCTTCAACGACAGATAGAATATCCCAGCATGCCTTGTGCACACATTCGAGAACGCATTCGAAAACCTATACTCATCACTAAATTTCCCCAATATCGGCACAGGAATCCTCTTAATAAAGACAACGATAACAGTTCATGAAAAACTCCAACGGTCCTCTTCTCCATTTCCCGCGAAGCTTGATCCAATTTCGACGCATCTTCATACGGAGAAATATAATCCATTTCCACCCAATCCCTAACCCACTCTCTCATTTCCTTCTTCAAGAAAAACCCTGATGGCAGCCTATAGTCAAAATTCGGCCGAACCCGAATCCCTGTCAAATTCGACTCCTCTTCTGCCCTCCTCTCAATCATTGATTTCGCAAACTCGGGGTTCCACGAAACCAATTCCAGATAACAATTCTCCTCTCCGGGGCACCCAAGTATCCGAAAATACTGCGGATACTTGGGCACCAAGCTAACCAAGAAATCGTTCGGAAACCCGAATTCCCTCTTCACATGAACCAATTTATCAACACTAACAACCCTATCCTTGCACATCATCAGCAATTTACACAATTTAGACACAATCAACGGCTCATTTTCCTTAAAAATCCTCTCTTCCTCCTGCAGAAACATCCTTAATCTATCGCTAAATCGAAGAAACTGAGCCGGTTCCGATTTGGGTTTAATTCTATCATAGTAAACATCGAACAAACCTGGGTTTCTGCTAAGAAAGGTCTTGACTTTGATGTTGAGCCGCAGCCTTTCGCGCCGTTTTTCGACGTACCGGAGCGGGATCACCCGACCCGGTTCGTTGTGCACCTCCTTGACGACGCGGGCTCAGAGCTTGTACGGCTTGTCGTTTTCGATTGCCCGGTCGAGCTTCTGGTCCTTGCGCCAGACGACTTTGAGGCTGGAGATTGATTGGGATTGGAGGTGGGTTGCTGGGTGCGTGCTGGGTGTGAGAGCGGGCTTGCGGGTGCGCATATAGGAGGAGATTGGTCGGGTTTTGGAGAGCATAGCCGGAATCGGAGACCGAGCTGACTCAGTCACTGGACACTGTAAGAGTGAGAGGAGAGAGAAGCAAATATCAAATTGGGCTTGCAAAGCTACAAAGTTGAATTGGGCTTGAACTGTATGACTGTTTTATGGATTTGGGCTTGGAAGCTGGTCCATTTGAATTACCTTGGGCTTGGCTGCTTGGCCCATATAAAGTCTATTAATATATATATTTAAGATAAATTACATTTCCATAGCTCAGGTTTGGGGCCTATTTTAATTCCTTACAATATCTTCAAAACATTTCACTTTCATACCTTAAGTACTATTTTATTTCAAAATAATAAATCCATTACATTTTTCATCTATGGATCCGTTAAGTGCTGACGTGGCTGCCACATATATGCCACGTGACAATTTTTTTTTCTTTTCTTTAAACCTCAATTTTCAAAAATAGAAAAAAGAAAAAAGAAACCCGTCCCCTTCTCCCATCCATCATCACCCACCCCAAAATCCCACCCGAGTCACCCCAAAATCCCTCTTCCTCCTCTTCTTCTTTTTCTTCTTTTTCTTCTTCTTGCAGGGGGTGGGGACAAAATGGGTTGCAGATATATATATATATATATATATATATATTTTTTTTTTTTTTTCTTCTTCTTCTTCTTGTTGCGGGTGGGTAACTAGATTTGGGTTTTTTTTTTTTTTTCCTCCTTCTTCTTCTTCTAGATAATGGGTTTTTTTTTTTTTTTTTGAGAAAATTCAGGTTTTTAAATTTTTTTTGCCACGTGGCATATATATGGCAGCCACGTCAGCACTTAACGGATCCATGTATGGAAAATGTAACGGATGTATTATTTTGAAATAAAATAGGACTTAAGGTATGAAAATGAAATGTTTTGAAGATGTTGTAAGGAATTGAAATAGAGCCCAAACCTGAGGTATGAAAATGTAATTTACCCTATATATTATCATGGTTAGGAAAATTTTTTAATTGTGTTCTAAAAAATATAAATTGATATCAAACTCGTCATCTATAAAATTTTAATTTATATTTTTCACGTATAGATATAAATGAAGAAAAACAACACTAGACCATATTAAGTTCTTTGTTGTTTAGTAACAAATTGCAACTTGAGTAAAAGTCAATGTGCTCATTTGAGAATATGTATATAATGGGTTTGGATTCGTGGACGTTATTTTATACAGAGTTTTCACTTTTTAGGACCCCAGTCAATTCAAATCGTTTATTTTTTTTTTATGTCTTCCTCAAATTGAGTAAATTGTAGCAATAGTCTTTCAATTTTAACTCAATTGGAGCAATGATATCTTAATTAAAAATTCATTACCATTGATATTTCAATTCATCAAAACATGCAACTATAATCCTTCAACTAAAAATTTATTATCAATGGTCCCTGAACTTTAATACAACTGGAGAAATGGTCCATTAACTTTAATCCAACTGGAGAAATTGTCTCTCAACTTTAACCCAATTGTAGCAATGATTTTTCCAATATAACTTGTTTTGATAAAATTCTGACAAAGTTGACGAAAATGACCATAATTACATGTTTTAATAAGTTGAGAGATCAATAATAATAAATTTTTAATTAATGAATCATCACTCTAATTTAATTAAAGGCGTACAATTTACACTTTTGCTTTTCCTCCGGATGAAAAAAAAAAACAGATCTCCCGGATCCGCATTTGGCAGAATCTCGACCGTAGATCCTTTACGACTCCACTCTCCACGTTTACATCGTGCGCATCGTCAACGTCCTCATCACCTTCCCGCACTGCGACGAGTCAGGACACTCCAAAAAACGGCGTGCCACTCTCTCACTCCTTCCCGATGCCGCTTCCGCCGACCGCCCAAACCAGCGCCCTAATCTCGCCGCCGAATACGACGGCGAAAATGATGTCGTGGAACGGTGCCAAGGACCTGGTGATGACGTCTGACGACATTCCGTTCGGGACGGGGTCGTGGTATCTCTACGCCGGCGTCTCGTGCCTGCTCGTCCTCTTCGCCGGGATCATGTCCGGCCTTACCTTGGGGTTGATGTCACTCAACCTCGTCGACCTCGAAATCCTCCAGCGCAGCGGTAGCCCCACTGAGAAGAAGCAAGCCGGTCGGTTTTTTGGAAAATTGATATTTGATTAAGGAATTGGTGTTTATTTATACTTAATTAAGATTAATTATGCGATTAATTTTAGTGGTTTGATGTTGATCCGTCTCTGTGCGCAGCTAAGATACTACCTGTTGTGCAAAAGCAGCACCAACTTTTGGTCACGTTGCTTCTCTGTAATGCTTGTGCCATGGAGGTACTTTTGACAATTTATTGATGCCAACAAACTTTGAATTTCGAGATTTGTGTAATAGATTAAACATTGATTTTCGTTAGATAAGTTTAAATTTCAAGATTTGTGAAATAGACGGATTAAATCACACTCATCTAACCACAATTGATGCGGTTGTGATGCTGAACATTGATATGAACATGTTAATTGTTGTTACCAAAAAAAAAAAAGATATGAAAATGTTTAATTTACTTGTCTTGTGTTGAATTTTGGTTGTGCAGGCGCTTCCTTTATACCTTGATAAACTCTTTCACCCAGTTGTTGCTGTTGTGCTGTCTGTAACTTTTGTTCTGTTATTCGGGGAGGTACGGCATTTTCCGAGTTATTATTTATTATTGAAATGCAGTTGGATAGGTTAGTGTTAAATGAAGTTATGGGACTGTGACTGACCTGTGCTTTTCCATGTTGGACTAGATTATTCCGCAATCTATTTGCTCAAGATATGGGCTTTCGGTTGGTGCCAATTTCGTTTGGCTTGTCCGCATTCTGATGGCCATTTGTTATCCGATTGCATACCCAATTGGAAGGGTATGTAATTATCGTTTGTACTGGATCACTGAATTTAATTTTCTTTTCAAGTTATTGTCTTTTTTAGTTTATAGCTCAGTCATCTGCTTAGTAAATTGCTTTTTGCGGCTATGAGACATTTAAGATATCACATCAACACTGAGACAAGTTCTTCTTCGGCACCAGTGACGTTTTAATACTATGCTTGTTATAATTTTCATATTTGGATCATAAAGTATGTTTCCTATTTTAGTAAAACATAGTATGGACGGAAGTCCAATACGTTTCAGATTCGGAAATTGATGTTATAGCTTGTAGATGTAACCCATGGTTTCAGGTTCTTGATAAGGTACTTGGACATAGTGATGATTTGTTTAGGCGGGCTCAATTGAAGGCCCTAGTCTCTATTCATGGCCAAGAGGTAAGCTGCTTAGATTGGAAGTGTGTACGACATTACTTTCATATGTCCAAAGTTTTTTCCTAACTACTAATTTATTTTGTTGAACAACGGTAGTGATAAATGATGCAACTAGTTCTGGGCGTTGAATGTGACTTTATGATTTGTGAATGGCTGCTGAAAATTCCAGAACAGTTACAGTTGTGCCGAATTCAGATTGTTTTCTGTTTTCCTTGACTTGCTATTTCTATCCATTTTAGGCTGGTAAGGGAGGTGAACTCACACATGATGAGACAACGATTATCAGTGGAGCCCTAGATTTAACTGAAAAGGTACCCAATTTCTTCAGATGTATTTAAGCTTTGCATTTGTCGTTGCAGCATATGACACAGGAAATTTATGAGACATTACAGAGCAATTTGAGGGAAGATAAGTTGACAATATAAGGGCATTTCCATAAAATTTCTAGTGTTACTTCATGTACATGTCCTCAGTTCTATAATATATACAATTTTCTCGCTTTCTATGTGCATTCTTGATCTTCTTGCTGTATTTCTGATACTGGTACCCAATCTATTTTGGTCCTTGTCTTCCTGGGTGTTTGATTTTAGTTGCAATTTTCAGCTTCTGCATGCCTTCTAAGTATTGAGATAACATCACAATCCACGTCTGCGTGTTGCATTTTCTCTATTCTTTGAAGGATTCATAATAGTAAAGTTTCTTTTGATGTCCAGACCGCAGAGGAGGCTATGACACCTATTGAATCAACATTTTCCTTGGATGTTAATTCAAACTTAGACTGGTGTGTTTGCCTTGGACTCTTCTACGTATTCTTTATTTTGTGCTCTCTTTTGTGTGGTTATATTGAAATAGCAGTTACATCTCTAGATCGTACTTTTTTTTGTTGTATCTGTTGGGTTTTACGGCTCAAAATTAGGATGATGCAAAAAATTAGGTTTGTGTCACTTGTTTGGTTTTGGTGTCCTATTTGGGTTTGGATTTTGGCTTCTTAGTTGGTTTCCTTGGTGGAGAGATTTTGTTAATTACCTATTTGATTAGGATTTGGATTTACTTCCTATTAGGAATCTTATTGTAACCTAAGTCCTATGCACTATAAATAGGACGTTAGGGTTAGTGTATTTTGATGTGGCTATTCGTGTGGCAATTTAGTGAGAGTCAATTTGTGAGTTTGTGAGTTAGAGAGCAATTTGGGAAAATCTTCTCCGTTAGTTTTGGGTCCTCTACTCGTTTGGTTTAGGGTTTGTAATTGTGGGATTTGGGTTGTGCGAGTTTAAATTATCTTTTGTAATCTTCGTTTGTTTGGTGAAATTTCTCGCCGTGCTTCGCTTGTGGATGTAGGTTTTATGCCGAACAACGTAAATCTATTGTGTTAGTTTGAGATTGTTTTAGTTTTCACCTACGACATTGATATTGGTACTTTGTTAGAATTCACTTACGTTTCGCATAAAAGTACAAGAAGTGGTATCAGAGCCAGGTTTCGGCTTGGGCTTTGCTTGGTAGTCACTATGAAGCCTTCTGTGTCGTCGGTGAAAGTTGATAATGAAAAGTTCGACGGCAATGACTTTGGTATTTGGCAATTGAAGATGCATGCTTTGTTAGTTCAATAAGGGCTTTTAAAAACGCTAAAGGGTGTGAAGGCTTTGCCAAATTCGTGGACTGATGAAGAAAAAGAAGACATTATGGAACGGGCACTTCATGTTGACTTTATCGAATGAAGTCTTGCGTGAAGTTGGTAGCCTCAAATCTGCACCCGATTTGTGGCTAAAATTGGAGAGTTTGTATTTGACCAAATCTCTTGCTAAACGGTTGTATTTGAAGAAAAGTTTGCATACTCTTCGTATGGATGAAGGTACGTCAATTCATAAGCATGTTGATGAATTCAGTAAACTTATGATGGATTTGAAAAGTGTGGACGACCAAATTAGTGATGAGGATTATGCGATAACTTTGTTGTGTTCTTTATCTCCTTCGTATGAACACTAGAGAAAGTCTTAGTTTGGAAGATGTTAAAGTCGCTTTGAATTCTAAAGAGCTAAAGAATAAAGTGCCTGTCACACAAGATGGAGCTTTGGTAGTTCAAGGAAGGAATAAGGAAAGGAGCAAACTTGGAAAGAACACTTGTAGCTATTGTTATAAGGAAGGTCATTGGAAAGTAGATTGCCCTAAACTCAAGGGCAAAAAGAAGTCGTTTGATAAGTCTTTTGCTAGTGTTGATGCAAACATTGCAGAAGATCATTGTTCTGAACTCCTCTAAAGGTTATGTGAGGAGGTGGAGCTTGGTACTCAAGCTCTTCAATTCGCACTTTTTGTTTATATGTTCAAGGTTTTGCTTGGATTTTGTTTCGTATTTGCTAGTTTCCGTAATGGAATTTGTTGGAGAAGGCGTTGGAGGAAATTTCAAGTTTGAAGACTTTTGGATTTTTTGATTCTAGGTGGAGATCAGTTTCGAAAGAATTTGGTGCACGTTTGCATTTGTATTTTGGTATCCCAAATTTAAAGTTTGTATTTGATTTGGAAGTTTGCTAATTTCTCGCCGAGGTGGAGATTGTTGGGTTTTACGGCTCAAAATTAGGATGATGTAAAAAATTAGGTTTGTATTACCTATTTGGTTTTGGTGTCCTATTTGGGTTTGGATTTTGACTTCTTAGTTGGTTTCCTTGGTGGAGAGATTTTGTTAATTACCTATTTGATTAGGATTTGGATTTACTTCCTGTTAGGAATCTTATTGTAACCTAAGTCCTATGCACTATAAATAGAACCTTAGGGTTAGTGTATTCTGATGTGGCTCATTCGTGTGGCAATTTAGTGAGAGTCAATTTGTGAGTTTGTGAGTTAGAGAGCAATTTGGGAGAATTTTCTCCGTTAGTTTTGGGTTCTCTACCCGTTTGGTTTAGGGTTTGTAATTGTGGGATTTGGGTTGTGAGAGTTTAAATACTCTTTTGTAATCTCTGTTTGTTTAGTGAAATTTCTTGCCGTGCTTCGCTCGTGGATGTACGCTTTACGCCAAACCACTATAAATCTTTTATGTTAATTTGAGATTGTTTGTTTTACTTTTCACCTACGACATTGATGTTGGTATTTTGTTAGAATTCACTTCTGTTTGCGCATAAAAGTACAACAGTATCTGCTGCTATATTGAGCAGAATAGAGTAGAAACTAGGTATTGACAAGAACTTATGAGGATCATCTGGTAGTAATTGAGATGGGTGTTGGTCTTCTTTTTGTTTTCTGTTGTAGAGGGAAAGATTCATTTTTAAACTGATATTTGTTTCCTCAGGGAAGCAATTGGGAAAATTCTTGCGCGAGGTCATAGTCGAGTCCCCATCTATTCTGAAAATCCGAAAAACATTATCGGCCTCCTTCTGGTGAGTGAAAACTTCTGGCCGTTGATTTCCTACCATTGATAACAGTTAATTGTAGAATTGGTATGTCACAGCTGATTGTAGGATTCGCAAGTCATTTTTATAGTTATTCATTTATTTTGTAATGGACTTAGGTGAAAAGTCTTCTCACAGTACGAGCAGAAGCAGAGATTCCAGTCAGTGCTGTTTCGATTCGAAGAATGCCTAGGTGCGTCACTTCTTTCTCCATGTTATCCTTTATGTATATATCTACTTCTGTTGTATGTGGGAAAACCTTAAATAATTATGCATGGATTTCCCAGGGTTCCAGCAGATATGCCGCTTTATGATATACTTAACGAGTTTCAAAAAGGAAGCAGTCACCTGGCAGCTGTAGTGAAGAGCAAAGGAAAGAGCAACCTTCTGACAATTCCTGACGTAGAGAATTTCAAGGAGGATAAACTGGCACAGTTAAAATCTCAACTAGCTGCGTCCTTGCCAATCAAGCAAGATGACAAATCAGGGAGTGTTGCTCTCGACATAGATAAAGCTCCAAAGTCTCTGACAAACAAGCCAACTGTTCAACCGAATGGTGCTACAAATCAAAATTCATCAGAGGACATTGAAGACGGGGAGGTCATAGGAATCATCACCCTAGAGGATGTTTTTGAAGAACTTCTGCAAGTATGCTCTGCTTCGATCAATCTCCTACCCTTAAGTTCAATTTATGTGGTTCAGTCAGTGTAATATTATGTGTTCAACGACAACAAGAATGCCAATACTATTTCTTTTCACGTGCGCTCTGTTGAATGATGAATTTTCCTAATCCTCTTTTCAATGCAGGAGGAAATTGTAGATGAGACAGATGTATATATCGATGTACATAGGAGGTACGATGGGATCTCAACTCTCTCTCTCTCTCTCTCTCTCTCTCTCTCTCTCTCAGTCAAGCTCCTTGATTAAATTGGAATGTGTGATTTGTATAGGATACGTGTGGCTGCTGCAGCAGCTGCTTCATCCATGGCACGAGCTCCATCAACTCGGAAGTTGCTTGTAGTAAGTTAACATCATTTACTTGTCAGTCTTTCGCTAAGTCATTGGAACATGAGGTTGTCAACCAATATATCTTAAAAAGCACAAGCTTTTCCAGTAACTGAAGCTTTCACCAAATCTGTGATTTTCAAACATGCATCTCGCTGTAGTTCAACAGAGTTTATGTAAAAGTATCCGCGAAGCTCTTCCAAGTCCTTGTTCTCGTGATGCGCATTCCTCATGCTTTAAGAAGAAGTTACAAATAGTGATAGAAGTATCAAACTTTTTTGCTTCTTCCCCGATTACGTATTTTGGATTGAGTAACAAGCTGTGTGTCATTTGTATGGCTGTTCTGAAGTTAGAAGTTGTTTTGTCTAATTATGTACTCGTTATCCTTCAGGGCGCTCTAAGTAAGCACGGGCAAACCCCGAAGAAGTCTGCAGAAGATGATGGACATTCGGTGAGGTTTTCAGGGTCTCCACGGGAGCCTCTTCTAGGCGGTAAGAGATGACAGACTTGTAAGTTGTTCCAGACTTGCGGTTGGAAAAACTAGCTACGAACGCCAGCAGCTAGCGTCCTTCGTTACTCGTCATGGCACGGAGTTGCGATCAGCCGCGTGCGAATATTACGGTGTTATCCATAAGCTAGGGTTTGTAGGTTATAGTGCGTGCATGTAATTTCTGTCTCTGTTTTGTCAAATCCATGTCCATTTCTAGAGCTAGAAAACTAGGTGTGTCCTACAACTACATTAAACCATTTGGGTTTAGAAAAGTATCATGAGGATTTAGATTGAATTATTGTAAATATCCACACACCACCCACACCCCACCCAACCCCCCCCCCCCCCAAAACCAAAAAAAAAAAGTAAATTGTAGCAATGGTCCCTTAACTTTAACTCAATTGGAGCAATGGTTCCTCAACTTTAACCCAATTGTTAGTTGAGGGATCCAGTTGTAGCAATGGTCATTCAAACATAACTTATTTTGACAAAATTCTAACGAAGTTAATGAAAATGACTATAGCTGCACATTTTGATGAGTTGAGGGAGCAATGGTAATGGATTTTTAGTTGAGGGATAATTGCTGCAATTTGATTAAAAATAAAAGATCATTATTACAATTTAATCTCTTTTTTTCACGTTGTTTGAAAATTTGGAGTCTCTTGCATTTTATTAAAAAAAAATCGGAAAGAATTTATTTCATATTTTCTTGATAAATGCACTTTTCTATATGATAAAGAAGGATTTAAACTTGGATACAATTACTGATGTGTATTTTTGGATCAGATGATTTTTTTCCATGTCATGATGCCCCACCATGCGACATGTCCAACCGATCAACATCTACAATCGCATCGATTTTTGAAATATCATTCATATTATCGATAGTGTGAACATTTGAATTAATATTCGTTGAAATTATGTCAATGTGCTTATCGGTGGAAAAAAAAAAAAAAAAGGAAGGGAAGATTGATGGGATGGCATCATTTTGTTGTAGGCTTGTTAATTAAGTCTAAATAAAAAGTAACTGATGATGTGATAGTATGTGGTGGGCTGGTTCGATTGTAAGACTCGAATTTTTCCCATTTTCCAAAAATTACCAACCGCCCAAAATGTGAATGTGACATCCAGATCATAACGCGGGTACACTAAAGCAAATGTTACCATATAACATCACATCATTAGTCTGAGGCGTTCCTGCATGTACTGAATAGGTAAGTCTCTTTCTTCCCTTTTCACATGTTGATTTTCACCATTTGGGGGCCACGCCCCCATGTGAATGAGAATCCTCTTTGTGAGAATCTCGAGGATTTTTAAATTGTGATAATTCATCGTTTATTATACATGTTGCGATTATAAATTATTTTAAATATTTTATTTAAAAAATTAAATATAAATAATATCTGATAAAAATTAACTGCACGATTTGAAAATTTCTAAAATTTTCATAAAAAGCATCCTCATGGGCCCCAGGTCGCAAAATAAGTCGGCCAGTAGAAGCGGCGGGAAACTTCGCGTATTCCACGTCAGCTAACCGTTCTAAACCCGGGCCCATCACAGCGAGTAAAAACCTCGTATGCCAAGATTACATTTGGATGAATTGACGAAATTACCCTCGCACACCAGCTCGATTAACGAGTGTACCCGTTTCCTTAGCTGCGTGGGTCAAGACAACTCGGCCTAGTCATTGTTTTTCCCGAGAATCGAACACCACAAATACCGTACAAAAAACCACAAACACTCTCCTCCTCCTCCTCCCTCCTCCTTCCACCTTTCCGAACGGTCAGTCTTTTCATCTTCCTCTTCCTTGTTTTTCAGTTTGGCTGCCGAGAAAAGGACGAGAAAGTGTTCAATTTTCGCAAATTTTGATATTCATAATTCAAGGTTCTGAATTGTTATGGGAAAAAATTGATCTTTTCGTTTTTAGTTTTTTTAGTTTTTTTGTATTTATTTGTTATTTGCTCGGCATCCAAACGTAGCGATTGTGATTTTCATTTCATCGCATTTGTGATTTTTGCATTGTGATTAATTTTGTATCATTGGCTCTGAATTTTCGATGAAGATTATGATTTTTAAGTTTGATCCGCGGCAGAGTGTTGGGTTTAGAAAGTGAAGAAAAAAAATTTAATCTTAGATCTTGACCTAATTTTTCGTTTGAATTTTGTAATATAGTTCTAGTTGCAGCTTTGGGGCTCTCAAATGGATGAATTTTGTCTGTAATTTTGTATTCTGTTTTAAATATGCAGAATCGTATCTCTTGGAGATGGGTTTCAATGCTGTTTTTGGTTGCTTAAAGGAAGTTTTTCCACAGGTATGATTCCTTAACATTTTGGAATTCAATTATAAATTGTTATCCTTTGTTATTGTTGTGTAATTATGTTTCCATTTAAATCTTTCGGCTTTATAGTTTTTCTATGTGTAAGTCTTGTCAAACTTGTAAGGTATGAAGCTTAACAATTTGTCAAATGAGTGCATGGAATTTAATCTGAACAATTGGCGGTTTTGGGGACCCATATTCCGAGTTTTTTCGCCATTTTGTTTTCTTAAGTTATTATTCCAGTAGATTCTAATGATTCTGAGACTTCTAGTTTGATTTTATGGAATATGCATTAATTGTCTTGCCTAAGATCATAGGTGAGAACATAGCCTTCTTTGATTTTCCATTAAGGTAAAAGCTGCAACTTAATTGAATCTGTACAGTCTAGGGTGCTTGGGTTTTGTATTTGGTTAAAATGTTTATTTTTTACTCAGACTGACCGTCCATATTCTTTCTTCTGATTCGCCTCAGGTTGATTTTCGCATTCTGAAGGCTATTGCTATTGAACATCCCTTCGATGCCGATGCAGCTGTGCTTGATGTTATTAATGAGTTCCCTAACTTGGCTACACAGTCATTTTCGTCGGCTTTCAGTCCCACTCAGGTTCAGAGTCCCGAGGCTCTCCCAGTTACAGGTATTCTGTAGCTTCTCGCGAGAACCTTCTTTTGTTCCTGGAATTGTTCTGCTTTTGCTGCTACATACTTTTGCCTCTTTCATGTCATTGCATATTGATAATTACTTGTAATACTAAAATGTTCCATTTTTTCTGTTTATTTATTTTTTATTTCATCTAAGTCTTTAATTCTATGCTGAACTTGCAGCTCAACACAAGGATAAGGGTAAATTATTGATGCACCAGCAGGTAATTAAGGAACCCGAGTTTGAACCTCTTCCAGAACCAGAAAAGGCAGCTGTTGATGATGACAGCAAAAATGATCATACAAGTGGCATCTCTCATGACAATCCCACACTACTAGGGCAAGTGAACTCATTTCCAAATGGTCCTGTTCCATCAGAAGCTGATATAAGTACTGGAAGTGAAGAAGTGATTTCTGATGGAAAGGGTATGAATTTTGATGTCCAAGTTGGGCTGCAGCAGTCTGCATCTGGCATTACGACTCTTTCAATGCCTGGAAAGGATGTGATGACAGCTGTTGATGATGACAGCAAAAATGATCATACACATGGCATCTCTCATGACAATCCCACACTGCTAGAGCAAGTGAACTCATTTCCAAATGGTCCTGTTCCATCAGATGCTGATATACGTACTGGAAGTGAAAAAGTGATTTCTGATGGAAAGGTTATGAATTTTGATGTCCAAGTTGGGCTGCAGCAGTCTGCATCTGGCATTACGACTCTTTCGATGCCTGGAAAGGATGCGACGACAGCTGTTGATGATGACAACAAAAATGATCATACAAATGGCATCTCTCATGACAATCCCACACTGCTAGAGCAAGTGAACTCATTTCCAAATGGTCCTGTTCCATCAGATGCTGATATAAGTACTGGAAGTGAAGAAGTGATTTCTGATGGAAAGGGTATGAATTTTGATGTCCAAGTTGGGCTGCAGCAGTCTGCATCTGGCATTACGACCCTTTCAATGCCTGGAAAGGATGTGATGAATGGCACCTTGGTTGATGCATTTCCTGAATGGAAAAGTTTTTATCTCCCTTTGAATTGTGATTCTGATTTGGCTCTCCATGACACACGTGATCAAGTGGAACCGTTTGCAGTTGATTCTTCTTTCGTAGAACATTCACTAGATGCTTCTCAGTGTGACGTTCCTTGTTCAGACCCTCTTCTTGCTGATGACAACTTACGGGCAACTGATCCTTCAGATCATACTTCTGAGAAAGAATGTTCTCCACGGGAAATGGTTGATATTGAGGAGAACACCACAGACAGCGTATGCAATACTGATGTTCTTGAAGAGATCATTGAAAATGCTAAAAATAACAAGGTACTAATAGGTTTACGACTTGTTAGCTTTAGGGTTGCGATTTGCAATTCAGAAGTAGATGCCCTTCCTATAAAATTGAATTTCACAGTTGGTCTTTTCCAATACTCTCACACTCTAAATAAACCTGGCCCCATCTTGTCAGAGTAGTTATATCATCTTAATATTTTTAATGTGATGATGTTCTGTACTTCATGGATGTTTGGAAGTGTGTATTAATTCCTCTGTCTGATACAAGTACTATCTGATTTTGGGTTAGGATCCAATGATAGCATGTTTATAGATTTGAACCTTTGGTTTATGTGCTCCATTTCATTTTTTTTTTTTTTACCTATAATATGTATTATCTTGGGATAATAAATCTTGTCTGATATTTGGGAGTGTATTCTTAATGTTTTGCATGTGTTCTTTTGCTGAACCACTATCGCCATGGAGTTATTTTTTCTTCTTTCTAATGATAGAGTTCCTAATCGTTTAACAATGTTGCAGAAAACCCTGTTTTCAGCCATGGAGTCAGTCATCAGCATGATGAGAGAAGTGGAAGTACAGGAGAAAGAAGTGGACATTGTTCAAAAGGAAGCTTCTAGGGGAGGTTTGGATATAATGGTCAAGGTGGAGGAACTTAAACAGATGTTGGCACATGCAAAAGATGGAAATGACATGGTAGTATTTTGTGAGATGTGATTAAAGTTCGAAGTTAATGGATTCTGACTTGCCATTTTTAGTTAAGGGTGCATCATAACTGAGGTTATATTCTTTTTCTGCAGCATGCTGGAGAAGTCTACGGGGAGAAAGCAATTTTAGCAACTGAAGCGAGGGAGCTTCAGTCTCGATTGCTCAACTTATCGGATGAGAGAGATAAATCACTTGCGGTTCTTAATGAGGTTTTGACTCCACTTCATCGAGTTGCTTATTGCACTGCATTACTGTTGGTGCATGCTTTATTTCACTAATTTTATCTTTTGATTGCCTCATTTTTATGCTGTCTTTTTGATATTGTATTCCTTAAAAGCAACAATGGTATGATCTGTTTCACTTTATTTATTTATCAAACAATATCATCACAAAAAGATGTTAAGTATTCGTACAGTAAAGATATTGGAAAATCTTATTCGTGACTACTTGCAACAATTATATTTGTCTTTGGTTGATGTAGGGCAGCTGATACAAAGATGATCCTTTTTCTTAGCTCATTATTTGTTCTGTCACTGCAGATGCGAGAAACCCTTGAGGAACGGCTGGATGCGGCAGCAGAGGCAAGGAGACTGGCTGAGCAGGACAAGCTGGAAAAGGAAGAGTGTGCCCGGAAAGCTCTTGCTGAACAAGAAGCGGAGATGGAGAAAGTTGTTCAGGAATCGAAAATATTGCAACAAGAAGCAGATGAAAATTCGAAGGTAACAACTGTTTTCAGTGACCATGGACATACTAAATTAAGCTAACAGATACAATAATTCATTCAAATTTTGCTTTTTGCAGTTACGGGAGTTTCTGATGGACCGTGGCCGCATTGTTGATATGCTACAGTAAGTAATTTTGTCTCCATTGTTTTAATATATAATCTCTAAAGTTTGGTTTACAGTTTGGACCATCGAGGTCTCTATTACCTATGTAAAGTGGCTGATGCCAAGCAACTTGCAAGTATAGTACATCTTGGTTCCGTCCATGTGCTTGAAATAGGATGTAGTACACAGCACTGATTTCAGAAAACTTCATTACCAATTGTGCATCTTGTCGAACCTCGTTTTGCATATTAGACTTGGAATTTGTGTCTGAGGAACTTTAGTTATGTTTTGAGATTGTTTTTGCAGTTTACCCTAGATAAAGTAAAGTTACCGTTTATATTTCATCTTGTCTTACATTTATTTCATAGGTCATCTGTCTTCTCCAGCAATAGTTTAAATCATCTATTTCTAAAATCAATTAGGTCACTTTTCAAGCATTATCAATGTAATCTCATCTACTAGTTGTCTGTTACGTCACATTCTAGTCCGAACCTCAAATTCTTCGCTATCTGGTGTTCTTTTTATGTTTTACTACAATTTTATTTCTTCCTCAAAACTTTTGTTTCCTTTCAATGCTTTTATTTGCTGTATGTATTTTTATGAGTTTGAGGAGATGATAATACACTACTTTCACACATGTGCAGAGGAGAAATTTCCGTCATTTGTCAGGACGTCAGGCTTCTGAAAGAGAAATTTGATGAGCGGGTTCCACTAAGCCAGTCAGTATCTTCGAGCCAGACGAGCTGCATCCTAGCTTCTTCAGGCTCATCCATGAAAAGCGTGGCACTCGATTTAGTTTCAGAACGACTGGAGTTACTGAAGTCGCCGGAGAAGGTAAGCCCCGCTCCTTCAGTTGACGGCCTATCACCAAAAAGCATACTCGAACAGGAAAGAAGCAAGGCCGATCGAAAGGAGCTTATGGATGACGGATGGGATGTCTTCGACAAAGACTTTGATGTCTAAGCCTTATACTACATATCATAAGCTGTGAATATGAACAGTATCAACTTCGAAGACGGATGCAATTTTTGTTTCAAATTAAGTAGGATTTATATATTTTGATATAGAATTTTGTACAGTGGAGATTCAAAACAATAATAATTTAGACTTGCCGAATTTTGAATATATATACATGTGTGTGTGTGTGTGTGTGTATGTATATATTTGTAGATTATTCTTGCAAAAAATTAGATAATTTCGAAATCATAGTTTATTTGTAGTGAAGAAAATATAAGAACACGGTTCTACGAAGAATCACTAAATTCACAATCTAACACGTTTTTATGGCTCACATCTATAACTGTTTTCAAGGATTTGAACTGCTATATTTCAATTAATTAATTTTTTTATAGATTATTCTTTCAAAAAAATTAGATAACTCTGAAATCAAGGTATTCATTTGTAGTGAAGAAAATATAAGAATACGGTTCTACGAAGAAATACTAAATTCACAATCTAACACATTTTTATGGCTCACATCTATAACTTTTTTCAAGGATTCGAACTGCCTATATTTCAATTAATTTTTTATAGATTATTCTTGCAAAAAAATTAGATAATTCTGAAATCATGGTATTCATTTGTAGTGAAGAAAATATAAAAACACAGTTCTATGAAAAACACTAAATTTAATCCAACAGTTATATAGCTTAGTGGTTGGGTGATTTTTGGCACAACTGATATTTGAGGGAAGACATAAAAAATAAACGATTTGAATCAATAAAATATATTACAAAGTGGGCTCTAAAAACTTTATAAAAAATATGTGTCCACGAATTCAAACCTGTTATGTATATAATTGTTTTGGTCATGCATATTCGAAATGTTATAAGCAATTTGGAGTTGTCATTGTGATTCTTGCGAACTCGATTCAGCCAAATGGTGGATGATGGTGATGGTGAGCTAGTTGTTCAAAAACATGAGAGCTGGAAATTAAAATGTCCAGATGGTTTGGTTATTGACTAATGAATATACATGCATCCACTTAACCTTAAAAAAATGTCGAAGTCAAATGGCTTTTTCGGATAAACCAATCAGTAAGTTCCTTACACGTTGAGCAAGCAGAAACATTTGCCAGACTGGTCAGTTTTGACCCAAGGCAATGGCAGCAAGTTTAACATTTCAATTTGGGCACGTAAGTAATACGGTTGTATTATCCATTTGTAAGTTTCAAGTTCGGCTGACATGGATGACCAGTTCAATATCGAGCATATTTTCTAAAGGAAAAATTCAAGCACAATGACTTGTGTTTTTTATGAAGGGTAATGTTAGAGAGACAATTTACTTGAACTATATTTTGTGAATCGCATTATATGGCGACTGACGATGGACTCTTTTAAATCATTAAAGAAAGAATCCAACCATCAATCCATACATCATGAGGTGTATTGATTATGGTCTATAAACAGTCTCCCTAACATTTTGGTTTTTGTAAAACTCTTGAATTTGGACTCAAATATTTGTGATAGTAGTGGAAATTTAAGTAGAACATTGTTTGTCCCTTACCCTTATTAGTCCTTACATATAATTCGCACATGCTCAAACTTTCATTAAGGAGACAAGTGCCACTTAGTATTACATTTTAGTAGTATTTTGTTTCACTCGTAAATTATAAGTGAAATGTCTTAGTTTTAGATTCAAATTTCGTGAATGATGAGTTTGTAACACATTTTATTCCCCCAACCTTTAGCCTTTTAGTGCAAATATATCTTTGTATCAAAAACAATAAACCAAGTATATTTTTCACGCAAATGTATAGGATTTATTTCACTAGCATACTAAGAAAACAAGAGTTACATTAAATTATCAGATATTTACAACGTCAAACAGACATTTGGAGCTTTAATTGTCTAAATACAAATTAAACTACCATCTATGCAAAACTGGTCACCTTTGCCTAATTAATTATTATACAGAGAAAACCACAGTACCCGTATGGTTAATTAGTCACCCTAGCTAATACTGATCAGTCTCAAACTTGATCAGCCAGTGCTAATTCGGATGATAATTAACCTCTTAATCACTCATGCCAGCATAAGAGCATCACGCTACATCTCCAGATGATGTAAAGCCGCGCCCGCTGCTCTCGTATGTGCTTCGAACACCGTCCCCATGACCGAAACTTCAAACTAGTACTCCTCGATGTCCTCGTTGGGATCGCTTTGGCTTCCATGTCCATACAGAAAACGAAGAATATATTGAAAAATAAAAACGAGATGGTTATCAAGCGGTCGAGACTGAGAGAGTGGGAGTGATTGAAATTTGAAGAGACTTAGAAGAAGTTTGGAAGACTTGTTGTGGTGGCGGGTTTGAATTTGATGGGGGTGGGTGGATGATTAGGGACAAAGGGTGTTTAAATAGAGAAAATGGAGAGGAAGAAGGAAGGAGGAAGAAGAATATATGAGAGAGAGAGTGAGAGAGAGAGAGAGAGAGAGAGAGAGAGAGGAACAAAAATATGTGGTGGTGGTTGACAAATGTTGGACCCTGGTTGGGCCAATTAGACAGGGCGTGGGGTCCACCAATAGCTTGTCTGCTCGTTGATTACAGCCTCTTCGAAAGGGACCTCTCATCGGCTCTTCCTTCTTCTATTGGAGGGGTCATCCGACTCATCCCTGTCTGACCTTCATAAACCTGCATGCATACATGCATGTTCGTTTCAAATACCTAAAAAGATTATCAGAATCGTGATTAAGTTAATTAAAATATTAGAGAAAATTTACAATAAAGAGATTTGATTTGAGATTATATACTGTTTTAAGACTCTATTAATTGTCTGTTATATCCGAAAATAATACGCTTTAACAATAGTTAAGGGGGCATATATCCTAAATTTTCTTTGGGAAATTAGGGTTCCAGTTGTTAAGACTAAACATAGATTTCTACATTTTTATCGTGTAAAAGTCAACTAATAGAGAATTAGATATAAACATCTAAAAACCAAACGGATTTGGATCCTCTCCTGAGCTTAGGAAGCTGAGCTTCCTGAGTAAATCACACAGGCCATTGGATTTTGATCCAACGGCTACAATTATTATAACTTTTAGGGAGCCCTCTGTTTGTAGCAACTAATAGAGAATTAGATATAAACATCTAAAAACCAAACGGATTTGGATCCTCTCCTGAGCTTAGGAAGCTGAGCTTCCTGAGTAAATCACACAGGCCATTGGATTTTGATCCAACGGCTACAATTATTATAACTTTTAGGGAGCCCCCTGTTTGTAGCCATTAGATCAAAATCCAACAGCCCGTGTGCTTTGCTTAGGAGGCTCAGCCTCCTAAGCTCAGGAGAGGATCCAAATGCAAACCAAACAAACCTAAAAGCTGTCATGTTTGTTATTCGTAGGGGTGAATTTTTTTGCCAAATTGTCGTGCCAATCGAATTGTCAACCGTGCCATACCGATTTTGTGCCAACCAGTAATGGTACGACATTGTACTATACTGAAATTTTATGGTATGGTATTGATAATGGATACCATTACCATGGTATTACCGTACCGTACTGAAATATAATGTAATATATAATTTATAAATAATATAATATATAATTATATTAACACATATTTATAATATTCCATTGCTTGTTTGATTTGTATAATGAGTATAAGAGATTAAAAAAATGTTTGCTTGATTTGTATAATGAGTATAGGAGGTGTTCTACTACCATTGGGGCTCTATTGGAAGATGTGGAACTAAATGAGGAGTTCATAATTCAAGTTTATGGGGGTGATGAGAACAAAATTGAAATGATAAGGAGCTTATACAAGAAATGAGGGAGCAACGCTTTTTGGAGATATCCAATGAAGTTGATAAGTACTTCGCCGCTCCTTATATTAGCATTATTGTTGGCGGCTTTGCTCTCTTGAGTTGGTGGAAATCAAACACAAAAGAGTTTCCCAATTCTTTCACAAATAGCCAAGGATATCTATGCAATCCCCACTTCTACCGTTGCTAGTGAAAATGCATTTAGTCTAGGGAGGAGGGTTGTGGACCCTTTTAGGGCATCTTTGACTCCTAAAATGGTAGAGGCACTAGTATGTAGTAGTGATTAGTTTAGGACTGAATGAAGTAAACTTTTACAAGGAACCTAAGGAATATATGCTTCAATTTTACAAGGAAATGGAAGAAGTGGAAACAAATAAGATATGCTTAATTTTTTTCGTACATTTGTTATTAAATGCTTTTCAACTTTAATTCTTTTTGCTACTAATATGTTTTCTTTGTTTGTAATGTAGGCTTAACACAAGCTCAATCTTCTACAAGTTCAATGCCTCCTTCAAATGCTTCGACATCTCAAACTTGAAGAATTGATCAATGGATTTTACTTTTTGAAGTTTAGTTCCAATTTTCATTTGGTTTGAAACTTTTAACTTCTATTTGTTTTGGTTCGTAACTTCTATTTGGATTCTAAGCTTAATTTTCATCATGAATTTTAATGCATCATTTGAATTATTGTGTGTGTGAATTGTGAATGATGAATAATAGATGAATTTAGGCTACAATGTATGAGATAAAAGTACAAAAAAAAGTTTTGCCCTTGAATTGGGTTAAAAAAACAAAAATAGATTTTGTCCCAGAACAAAGTAGCAATTATATTGTCATACCATGCTAACCAAATTATTTGACAATACCGAACTTTGGTATACTAAAAGTTTGGTACGATAATTGGTATGAGAATTTTGATATTGTAACCGTACCAAACCCACCCCTAATTATTCGTATCGATATTTCTTGCAACTAATCTATATTGCTGTTTTCTCATATTTTATCACGTGAGCACTACAATTCTTTTACAATCAATATTATATGGTTTTCCTTAAGAAATGGTCCACATTTAAAATATATATATAAATAATAATAATAATACTGCGATGGATAACGTTGATTACGAAAAGATTGGACACGTGTTATACCTTGGTTAGTGGCATAAGAACTAATCTATTTATTTTATATGGTCATGTCACAATAACAATTCACCTTTCTAGTCGACCGGACAATAGTTTTGTGACGGGCTATCTGTCCACTCATTTTTTTCCTCACGTACGTTTCTTTCAATTTATAATTTTTGAATCGTATGAATTGTACTCAATGAACAAAAATTAATAAAAGAATGTGAAAGGTAACCGGAGGTGTTTGAATAGTACTACCCTATTTTTATTCATATAGAGATTTAAACGTCAAGGTAAGATGTTTTGCTTAATTTTTTTGAAGGTAAGATGTTTAATATCATTTCAAATTATAATGTTTAAGGAAGTTTTAATATATTCTAAGAGTTTCAATTGCTTAGTAATGCTTTCTTTCTTTTTATTTTGACGATAAATCATTCATTGTAACTTTCACATTCTCCAGTAACTCTTAGGACTCGTTGGGAAGTGTTTTTAAAATAATTAAAAGTACTTTTGATGATAATATTTTTGAATCTCAAATACAATTTCTTTAAAATTACTTTCAGTCATTTTAAAAACACTTTCAAATGAATGTTAGCATCCAACGTGAAAGTAATTATAAGTAAGAGAAAACGCTCCAAAATCGATTAAACCAACCATGTACTAGCACATGACATTCCAAAAATGCCAATTCCTGGCCTGGAGTGACGGAGTACTCGACGTCGGCGATGATGTTGGTGTAGAGGAGGAAAACGGCCGCGAGCTTTGAGTAGAGCATCTCACCTCGCTGCTTGTTGGGGTTGGCGTCGTTAAGGACGGGCTTGTCGGTGAGGTCTTCGGTGAGATGGTCTAGGTGATTGCTATGCTGACGGTTCCAGTGCCGATGACATAGATATTGGTCTGGTGTTTGGTGGTGGAGGGAGCGGCCGGGCTGAAGGAGTTTTGAGCATTGTGGAGTTGTTGAGTTGTGGGTATATGGTGGTTTGCTTTGCTTGTTGCAAAAAGGATAGTCGCGTGAGAGGAGGAGGAGGAGGAGGCAGTGCAGGTTTTCAGAAAAGAAAACTAATGAAAATGGTTTAAAAACTGTGAGTTTCAATGATAAGAAAAAAATAAAAGGTAAAATAAATAGTATTAGAATTGACTTTTTAGTGATTTTTCGTTAAAGTGAACAGTACTGTGAACTTTTTGTTAAAACTCCCATTCAGAAATTTTAATTTTATTTTAAATGGAGGTACGTCAACTTTTTTATTTTTTTTAAGAAAATAAGGGGGCCAAAAACTCCAAACAAAACTAATAAACATTATCCGAACAGACAAGATGAGCCTTGCAGATCCGTAAGCAATAATCCATCAACACCATCCTAAGCCACATAGAAGGATCATCAAAAACGCAAACCGCCATATCGATATTATAACTCCAACTAGCTAACTTATAAACAACAAAATTTTTCTCTGAAAATATGAACCAAGCGATGATGCTCCAACTGATCTATCTTATTTCTGCAGCTGCGCTGAATTCATCTTGACTATAAGTCTAGATACACTTTTGTCCAAAGCAAGTTTAAGGCTAAAATAAAGAACTTTAACGAAAAGCTCATAGTACTGTTCATTTTAACGAAAAATCACATTTTTACACTAAAAAGTCAATCTGGTCCTATTCACTTTACCCTTTATTTTGTCATTATCGTTAAAACTCAAAGTTTTCAAATCATTTTCATTAGTTTTCCTGCCAAAATACAAACTCCAAGTCTCTGCCTCCCTAACCTGTCCTGTCTCAAATTAGCAGAAAATCCCCTAGCCAATATAAGTAGAGGGACTATTTTTTTTGAAGTGTCATCCACTTTTATAATAACACATATGACGTATGTGCCGGTATTCCGAAGACACTAAAATTGTCTCCTTAACTTGCTGTTGAGTGATTGAACAGCTGTCGAAAAGCCATGGTTGTCACAAGCTGAACTCACAATAGCAACATCCACATTTTACAAATACTACCAAAAGTCCACGTGTCGAATTACGACAAGTACAATGGGCCAGCCACACCCTCACATGGCTAAATATGACGTGCACCATGTCGTGCTATGTTCAACCCCAAATTGTTTTGGTCAAACCGACATACCGTCCACTGTATCATTACCGGCCGTCGCAAAATCCATATACAAATTCATTCACATGTAACATTATCTTCATTGACTTCATCTCATCAAGAAGTTTTTAAACTTTTCACGAATATTATTTTCACATATTTTTCGAGAGCGACATGATGAGAGAGATTTGAAGCGTTCAAATGCTTGATTTTATGTAAAGTAAACTTGTGAGATAAGCTATTGGGGTTGTGTGATTTAAACTGAGTGATCTGAATTCTTAAGTCTGTCAACTTCGAATGTAGAAATCCAAAAAAAATCTCAATTCATCGCAACCACCACCTTACAAAACCTGCACTCCAGTGTGAATGTGAACCCTACAAATGGACAACTTGGGGGGCACCCCTTTGAATTAGTGGCTTCGAGCACCAGACGTCGGTCTGAGAGAGATCCTTATTTTCTCAGGGAATACTCCTGCAATGAGAGCTAACAAATCTAATGCATAAAATATTTGTAATCGTCTCTCTCAAAGGATGAAAAAAATCAAAGGGATAAGTATTGATACTTGACAACATTCCACATTAGGTTTTTATTATTTGGCATGTTTTACTTATGTGAAATGGCGGAAATTATGAATCATGGAAGCGAAAAAATGAATGACTATGAGATCAACTAAGACAGACGATTAATTGATCCGATTCCTGATTTTCTAGCACCCATCGAGTGCAAGTGAACAAGTCATAGGATAATGATCGGTATATACACCCAACATCTTTCTCCACCATTGGAATTATTCTTGCGTGCCACCAACGGTATATCAGTACACGAGTGCTAATACCTGCATGCAAGCATTAGCACTCGCACCGGGATACCGACGGTCACACCCAAGTCCTTTTTCCATCATATGATAAGTAGGACACGCGTGGGAAGGATCAAAGGTCCTCGGAAGTCAGAACTATTGTACAAAACCAATGAGAATGTTTTTTTTTTTTTTTTTTCCTTGAAAACAAACCAATGAGAATGTTTTTGCTCCCACAAAAACTTGAACAAAAATCCAACTTGTCGGATGAAGAAACGAAAGAACCTAAGCAAGTACATTATCAGCATTGTGATATTTTCCGACCAAATAGACAAGAATCACAATTCCACAGTTCCACTCTAAGACACCTGATGGAACAACTCATATTGTTCATCTGGAGTGTACTCTGATTTCATATGATCTCTACAAAAAACGTGAATTATACAGAAAAATAAACACAAACACGAGAAGGGTTCTTACCGATAAACAAAAAAGGGAGAATGGTTACACAGACGGGAAGGAAGAGCTAGAGAAGACGTAATATAGACACCGGGGATAAAGATAATTAAACATAAGAACTCCTATGCTCTTTCACTACTGTCTGGAGATGAACTGCCTGATAATGTCACACTTCCCCGAGCGCTTTCTTGATATCGGCCTGTGTCGTAGATAAGGAAGTATAATTATTTCAGTTCATGATCAGAGTAAAGCTTCTCTGTGAATGTGTCCACACAGAGAGAGAGAGAGAGAGAGAGAGAGAGAGAGAGTACCTCAATGTTCAACGGGGAGGTGGTTGGGCCGTACCGTTCAATGACATGGCCATCCTTGTCAACTAAGAACTTGGTGAAGTTCCACTTTATCCTACTCCCCAGGAATCCAGATTTACTTGCTTTGAGGAATTTGTAAACAGGTTCGGTTTCTGGCCCATTGACACGTACCTGGATACAGAAGAGTACAGAATTCCGTTTTAAGATATATTGCTCGGAAAGCAATCGATAAGATTAACGTTAGTATAGATATAGAATAAAGCAAACCACAATCGACTTCCGCTACTTCTCCTGGGTGTAGGACAAGCCAAATTTAACACTGTTTCAGTTATTCTAGTTACTGGTTATATATTACCATCACCAATTAGCTTGTTTGATTCCATACTTTTATTTCAAGTCAAGGGTTGCTCCTCAGTTTTTTACTCAGCTTCAAGCACATCGCCTTAGCACTCAAGAAACGAATCAAAGAAATAGAAACAAAAGGTTACTAAGTTCCACAAAACTGAAGAACGAGAAAAATTGTTCCAGAAATCGTGAGCTTGAAGAGTGGTTTTTTCCCCCATAATCTAATTAGTGCTAATGTTATACTAAAACAATGACAGCTTTCGGTTAGCCAACTGCAGCCTGGCCTATGACTTATGGGAAAAGGCAAAAGCCGCTATACTTTCATTCTCTCACCAATTGAAATAAGTGTGGATTAGCACCCAGCATGAGTAAGAGAATTATATTTCAATATCAAGTTATCAATCATGCCTTACTCGAACGGCTCTTATAGTTAGAGAGCAGCTTCGATTACCCAATCTCTGCTAATTAGTAATTAACCGTCCAGAATTCCAAAACAGACCCTTTTGAGGCTCAAAGAAAGCTTAGGGCATCACGGTTCACAAGGACCATATACGATCAATATAATCTGATTGATTAGGAGATAGTAATGGTAAAAGTTACTCAGTTACCTTCTTGAATATTGGATATTCAGCCTTGTACCTTGTGCATGCGAATTGTTCAGCATCCTGGCTTGTGCCGGGCTCTTGCCTCAGAAACTGATTGCACGGAAATGCCAAGATCTCAAAACCTGCAATCACTCATGTCCAAACCAAATCAAAGACAAAACTAAACGAATATTTACTCACCGATAAGTACAAGGACAGCATGGTGAGCGCAAATCACACGAAAAATTTCAATGCACAGATTTCTACAAGAACTTGGAAACTAGAAACACAAACAAAATATAACATTTGGTTTACAAAACAGAAATATTTCCCACAACCTCATTCAAGATTAAAGCTTCATCCCAAAACTCAATTCTAAAATGATTATCCCAACAATTTTGATACACAGATTTCGCACCAAAGTTGGAAATTAGCAATGGAATCATAACATTTAGTTTATGAAAAATTAAATAAAACACAGTTTTATCCGTATAATTCACATGTCACAGATTCGAGTCGTGGAAACAGCCTCTTAGCAAAGCAAAGCTGAAGCTGCATACTCCAGACGTTCACCCACAAACCTCGCAAAGCGGAGTCTTGTTGGCTTGGGGTCGCCCCTTTTATTCAAACATTACTCAAACTCAATTCTAAATAACAAGTTCATACATATAGAGCTGCAGCAGGGAAAAAGTAATTAAAGAGGGAAAAAAATTAACCTTTCTCCTTGTATTTGGTGTAAAGCTCAGTCAATTGAGTATAATTCGTATCAGTAAACCCACTGAAGAACAAAAATACAAGAATTAATCAATTGAAATTAAACCAGAAATTAAAAACAAAGAAAAAGAAAAGGAAAAAGGGAAGAAGAAGAAGAACCACCATTTGGAAGCAACGTTGACAACGAGGACAACCTTCCCTTTGTAAACGCTGAGGTCCACCTCCTTCCCTCTGCTATCCTGCCACCATCACCCAAAAAAAAAAAAAAAAAAAACCAAAAAACCAAACTTTCTCAAGATTTTCTGAACCAAATGATTGCCTTGGAAGAGAAAAGCTATCATCTTTGAGATGGGGTTTTTACCTTTACAGTGAATTCATGGATGGATTTCTCAGAGACAGATTGGGAACCACCCATTTTCTCTGTTTCTCTTCTCTCTAGACTCTCTCTCTAGCTGACTTTACAAGGAAAATATTCTCTGTTTTTCTCTCTAGACTATCTCTCTAGCTGACTTTATAAGGAAAAATAATAAACTGAGAAACTGTGGGAGGAAGGGAGAGGAGGAAAGGGTTGGACAGTTGCCTTAGAGCAGCTCCAGCGGGAGCAATTGCTCGATGGACAGGCCTTAGCACAGGGTCTGATTGTCCGAGGGAGGAAGTCCAACGTTGGCTGGCGAGGGAGCCCGAGCAGGCCCAAGCGCCAGGCCCGTGGATTTGCGCTGGCCAAAGCGCTTGAGGTGAGTCTGAGGTTAGCTGACGTCAGACGCCTATTTTAATTTTTTTTCTGTCAGGCGCGCGTTAGGGGACAGAAAGTCAGAAAAGGAGCCCACGGCGCACTAATTTTTTGTTACCGTTGGGGAGCCACGTGACTTCCCCACGCTCGTTGGATTTCAACGGCTACAAATTGTGAACCGTTGGATTTCCGACGGTAATAAAAATTAAAAAATCTTATTTAATATCAACCGTTGGATCTGAGATCAACAGTCCACGTTAGTCGACTTAAAAAATAAATAAATAAAAAGAAAAAACAGTTAAAATTCAGAAATGTTACCGTTGTGCCATGGGGCACAATCTGGAATGCTAGAATTCAAATTTGTTTAAATCCAACGGTATAGATTAATTAGGTGAATAAAAAATTTTAAAAATGTAAAAAATTATTAAAAATCCAAAAAAAAAAATTGAAAAATTAAAAAAAAATGATTTTACTTTTCTATAAATACCTTCTCATTATATTTTACCTTGCACCACAATTTCATATCTTGTCAAAGTTTCAATCCAATTTTTTTCCAACAATTTCATATTTTCTACCTTACACCACATTATCTTCTACCTTACACCACAATTTCATATTTTCTCAAAGTTTCAATCCAATTTCATACTTTTATATATTTACTTTTCTATAAATACCTATATTTCTCTCAAAGTTTCAATCCAAATTTTTTCCAAGAATATGACTAATGATGCAGGTACGAATTGATCGCTTATTGAAGATGTTACGTTGTGTACTAGCTGGGTTGAAATTACTCATGATCCGATTTCGGGTAATGAGATGCAGTTGAGATAAATGTGAGGTCTTATTCATACCAATTATCTTGAGAAAATTGGTGGGAAAATAACAAAAGAATCTTTGTTCAGTCGTTGGAGACTACTCAGCAAATCGTTTAGTACGTGGAGAGACGTCTTGGCACAAGCTAGTGGTAATCTTCGAAGTGGAGAAAATTTATTGGATCATGTAACAATATATTTTTTATTTGTTTGTACTATACCAAAATTTACATTACCTACTTTGATTATAATTATTACTTCTCCCACGTTGTGGAGGAACTTCAAGCACAAGCTTGGTATAATGTCAGAACCACAAGCAAAAATTATGAATAATGTTAGAGATTTTGGTGAATAAGGAAGCAGAAACTATGAATAATGATAGAGATCTTGAGAAAATTGGTGTGAGATTTCTGAGGATGGATGATAGATTATATTAAGGATTCAGAAAGGATTAGGTTGTAGATAATGTCACGTGGCATGCCATCATTCGTTAAAAATCTGGTGGAAATCTATCTTCAAATATTGTAAACAGATTATGACACGTGGCGCGACGTGATTGGTTAAAAATCTTAATGGAAATCCATCACCAATAATTGTCTTTTCAGATAATGACACGTGGTGCAACGAGAACGATTAAAAATCTTATCGAAAATCTATCACCAATAATTGTCTTTTCGGATAATGACACGTGGCGTAATAAGAACGATTAAAAATCTTATCCGAAATTACAAATAAAATTATTTTGTATTATTTTATAAATAAATAAATACTAATATTTTATTGCTATTGTCTTTTCAGATAATGACACGTGGTGCAACGAAAAGAATTAAAAATCTTATCTAAAATTACAAATAAAATTATTTTGTATTATTTTATTTCGAATTGTCATGACTATTCAGTGTAAGGATGAAGATGCAAAAAATAATTACTGTTTATTAAAAACAATTATTATTCATTGGATATATAGTATAGTAGATAGCCCTAGGGAGCCTCTACCACGATGGAACGGCTCTTATTATTATTATTTTTTTTAAACGACAGTTGCCTTATTTGTCATCAATCAATCACATGGCAGGAGGGTAAGAGTCTCAAAAGTTTCTTAATCCAGAGGCAATATAAATTTCAGTCTCCAGTTTCTTGTTGGGTGATGAATGATGAGTGGGTTCAGAGGTGGTCTGGTCTGTCTGCTGGCCCAGTCGGTAATGTCTTGTCTTTCTAGAATTTCCAATGGATCCTCTCTCCATTCTCTTTGTGAACATAATAGGAATTCTCAAATCGTGTTCGTTCATTATATATTGTGCGATCAGTTTTTATCAAATACTATTTATATTTAATTTAAAATAAAAATATTTAAAATAATTTATGATCACACGATGTATAATAAAAGATATAATTTGAAAATCTTTAGGATCCTCATAAAAGGATCCGAAGAGGATCCTCATTCCTAGAATTCTAACCAGTTTTTCTTCTCTACGGGTCCACTAGACTCTTGGTCATGTCATGAGTGTAATGATGCATTTTTTTGTAATATGAAAAGCAATTTACGACTCGTTTTGAACTTTTTTTTTTTTTGTAAGAAATGTCTTTGGTTATAATCAAAATTGATTCTTTTTTCTTCAAATACATTGGATTTTATTGAAAAATGGAGAATTGGTTAAAATTAAATATTAACGATATGTGAATCAAAGATCAAAGATTATGACATAGGATCACATGTCGACGACAACATACTAAACACTGGTCATTTCAACAATTGAGATTTAAAAAATGATCTGATGAAAGTATTCAGAAAATATTTTTATTAGTTACTAGCATTTTTAATTTTATTTCAAAACACAATTTGAAACGTTGTTAACCGTTCTCCAAACATTCTCAATTCTTTTTAATTCATTTGGAAACCATTTTGCCATGTGACATTTATCTCTACCCAACAAAGAGCCCTTTTTTTTTTTTTTTTTTTTGGAAAGACAACAGCACATGAGACCAAAAACAGGTCATGTATGTCGGTGAGGGTCACACTTTAGACAAGTAATTTGGAATTTATGCCGCATTCAGTTGCATGATTGAGATTCAACGACCCCTCATCAATCACACCAAAAACGCCTAAACAACTTTTGGTTACTTCGAGGTTCTCTTTGTTCTGAACTACTGAAATGAACTATGGAATAGAATTCTATCTGGATTTCGGGATCGCTTCATCATGTCATTTTATCTGTTATTCTACGATCAAAAATCATTTGATTTTTTTATTATTTAGAATTGAATATAAATATTGATCACACGATGTACGATGAATAGACACTAGAAAATGATCCCAAGAATCCTTACAAAGAAAATCCAAAGAGGATCCTTATCTTTATACTTGTAGTTAGATGTGCAGACACAAGAGAAAAGACACTATTTAGAAAAAAGATATCCGAAGTGAAGCAGAAGTAATAGAAATTCAACAAATCCAATAAATCTAAGCGTAGTGCTTGGTGTGTCTATTTTTTTTGGAAAGGGAGTGTGTGCGAGTTGTTTATTTCAAGAATAGGAAAATGTGATTATGAGACAAAAACTCAAAGCAAAAGAGATAAAAGAAAACCTAGGAAGACTTAGAATGAAACTCCAAGACATAAAGTACTTAAAGCGAAAGAAAAACTTACCATAAAATTGAGCACAACTACGTTCTAAAACTCCACTTAGTGAGATAATTGACTTTGTTGTACTGAACTAGAAATACTAATAGAACAATCGAGCAAGAAGAAAGTTACGACACAAAATTGCACCGAACCGAACCAACGAGTTTATGTTAATAAAACAAACGTCCCATGCATATGTCACAAAATTCCTATGAAGGGCTTTCAAGAAATAAATTATTCTAACATTTCGAGATAAAATTGGCAAAAAATGAAGGAAAATGGTACAATGCCAACCCTAGAGTCATTCACTCACGGCCTCTCATCGATTCAATCATCTCTACACATGACCGTCTTCCCTGCTCTGCGTTTGCAGGAGGAAGGCTAATAGAATTACATATGTACAAAACTGAACGAAAGCACTATACTCTGACAGTCGATCTTCGGTGCCTTATCCTCCTCCTCGTCTAAAGGTCTGTGCCTTGCGGCGTCAGTCATGACTGACGCTCTTGAATAAGCGGGGCAGGACCAAGATCAAAAATGGATCATACCTAAAATTCATCAACTTTGGTCGAATTAGCATGAGTGTTTACTAACCACTATTAAAGAAAGGAAAATTAGAGTAAATTGGAGCTAGCAACACACCAGTCCTGACGACAATGTGCTACATTTCGGTCATCTTGGCCGCCAATAGCTTGGACCTGAAGCACAAACAGGAGTTGCTTAGCCTACAATTTTAACGTCCCCTATAGTAGCTTGAAAACTTTTAAGCAGCAACTTTTCCCAGTCTAAAACCAATAAACACGAAAGTATTGAGTTTTTTTCATGGATTAAGGGGACTTATTACAGAAAATTCACACACCTCTGCCTGTGATGGGTATGGGACCTTCAAAAGGTGGTCTAAAGGGCATAGAGTCTCTGTGGCTCATCGAGCGGGGAGGATATCTCCAATCTTGGCCAGGTCCTCTTGTTGGTTCACATGGAGGGCCAGCATATGCACCAGTTCCATAAGACATCTTGCCTTTATCAGGATATCGAGGACCTATTGAAAAAAGAAAAATTTAATTGAAATAGTAAAATTTTAAGTTAATAAAAACTTTGCCTTTAGTTCCTAAATTAGTAGTACTTCTAGAGTCCACTCCTTCCCCGTACTACCAGTGAAAGGGAAAACGTAAAGACTACCATTAAATGCCAATAATTCTGAAATCGAAATATTGCAATAAAATACAAAGCCTTGCTATCTTAAAATTATTTGTACTCTAAAACTTACCTGAAAAATAATGTGAAGGAAATCTCCAGCTATCGCAGGGCTCATATGGGCCAGGTTTCATTCTTTCATGATTATTGTAATAGTTCTCTCGGTCCCCATAGTCAAATCTGTTGTGATAAGGAGGCGGAGCCTCGCATTGTGGCTTTACCGGTTGGTCTCCTTGAACATAAGAGAACTGATTGGATGGTGGAGCATGAGGTGGTCGTAAAGGGTAACCTTCATTATGGAAGGTAGCACCATCAGAGTGTGTCACATTTCTCTCTGAATATGTAGGAAAACTACTATAAGAGCACGATGTAGAATCAGGCATCTGTCTCTGATGATCTCTGCATTCAGGGGCAAGATAGTGCACAGCATCGGGAATTGTATGGTTCACTCTTGGTGAATTCAACTGCTGAGGTGGAGGGTGAACTCTGTTGCCATGCACATTCTGCAAATGCACATCCAAAAGTTAGAAGAAAAGCAATATTAGGACAATTTTTTTTACAGATTTAAAGAAAACAAGAGAAGTAAGGAAAATACGCACATGTGCATCAGTGTAGGACTTTGAATCAACACTGCTCATATAGGCATCGGGCATAGCGCATGGAGGATGCACGACATGAGGTGGAGGCAGTGGTGGTGGAGGGGGCGGAGGCGGAGGAGAAGATGGTAGTGGAGGAGATGACGGTGGCACATCTCGAGGTAGTGGAGGGGCAAAGTACGGTCGACAATTCTGTTCAAACTGATTATGTGAAGCCTGCACACCATTGGCTCCGGCAACACCACAAGATGAACTGACGTCAACATCACAGGAAGGAGCCACATCCTCCATTTCAAGCTCTCCATCCACATCTTCCAAGATATGCCTATGTCTTTCAGTGGCAGGTGTGGTTTCTTGTTCTTCATGGGCCTGAGGATTGTGCTCAGGAGTGACAGCCTCAAAACTTTCCCCATCAGAATCACATCCATCATCTTCATCTTTGAGCATGCGGGGCATACAAAATCCCGGAAGTTGAAAACTTGAATTGCTGTAGCAAAAAAGAACTCAATAAACAATTTTATATGAGAACATGAGAAAATCTACAGGTGAGGTCCAGCCAATTCAAACCTTCCATATTCGTCAACAAGCATGCCCTCCATTTCTCTAAGAGGATCATCCAAAGACCTTTCCGTTCTCGCGGAGCGCCTACCATATGCACCAGAAGAAGAAGACACACCATATGTATCTAATTCTCGCATATGGCGATGAATTATGGACTCTGGAACAATCCTTCTCTCTGACCAAAGTTTCAAAACCTTATACAAAAGAAGAGGAACAGGTAAGGCATTTAGCACAATGCAGATAACACTGTAGTGTCAGCAATTTACGGAATACTAAACAATAATGAAGAGTGGGCAAGAGGATGCAATTACAACATGCTATTAATGGGAAACAAAAAAAGAAAGACCCCAAAAGGTAAAAATAACTTGGCTTACCTTTAAACACTGTCTACGATTTTCATGTGCAGAACTTCCAGGAGGAGCAGCAGCTGACAATAACCGTGGCAGGATTGCTTGGATTGCAGAAGGGTACATACCACAACCATCACCTATTATTAAAAATCAATATCAACACAACAAAATCCAACACATGGTACATTCATAATTCCAACACCTTCAACCCCCTCCAACACCTTCAACACAGTATATTCATAATATCAAGACAAGCACCAACCATATTCTATTTGTGCGAGACAACTAGCTCTGATAAACAAAATAGATGTATTACCCTTCAACCCTCGGGTGCATTGAGCAATTGAATCCACCAGGAAGAACAAGTCCACTCTCCGGTGTAAGCTTGACTCAGTTTCCAAATAACGGGCAAGAATTTCCAACACCTGAGTTTTAAAGAAGAGAAATTATAAAAGGATGCATATTTTTCCTCCATCAAAATATCAACGTTATTTTAAGTACTATGAGAAATAGCAAAATAAGTTTATATAACCTCTACAACTACAAGAGTGATATTCCTGGTCTCCATCTAATCATCAAGAAAGCAATCATACATCTAGAATATATTACATAAATTTTTCCTCACTAAACCAAAGAATTTCTAACACCCGAGCTTTAAAGAAGAAAAATAATAGGAAAAGGGATCTAGGCGCATACTCAATATTTTAACATTATTTTAAGTACCAAGAGAAATACAAGTTGATACTGTCTCATCTACAACTACAATGATGAGTTATCACCGGTCCCCATTTAGTTATTGTGATAGCATTCACATATCTAAAAGGTTTTACAAAAAATTGATATAGAAATTTTTGTAACTTATAAAAAAAAAAATCCAGGAGGGGGAATATGGTTCCATGTCTCAAACCTACATTAAAGAATAGATTTCACCTACCTTAGCAGCTACACCAAGCTTTCCACAGTCCATAGCAACACGAGTTGCTCGACCAATGCTCTCCTTGGTCCTTGTCAATGTTCCAAGCATTGTATCAAATGATAACAGAGTTGCATGTATTTCTGAGTACTTGCTCACAGATTTTGGTCTTTGACTGACAACTGATTCGGACTTTCCGTCCTCACCAAGTTGAATAGATGAAGTTCTCCTGTTCTGCAAATCACCATCTGGACTACAACTGCCATTGTTCTGAAGAATATTACTACTATCTGAAGTCGACATGTGACAGCCTGACGTATTGAGAGGTGATGCATGTGCAATAGAATCTCCTCCATCTGTTAGGGATGGACTTGACCGGATACCAGAGACATTTTTATCACCCAGGTATTCATTTGGATAGGAAACTGAGCTTGGATCATTCTCTGTTTGTTTATTTTCAACCTCTTTCACCACATCAAAGCTAGACAAAGAAATACAAGCAACAGAGATTTAGAAAAAGCACTTGCCTAAAAGTTCTTCAAGTAAAGTATAATACTGGGACCAAAAATAATTACCAAAACGCCTCTGATAATGGAAGGGAAAAAAAGAGTGCACAAATTAAGAACCAAGGCATTTACTTACATAATCGGAAAAGGTGGAGGGGACTTGTGAAATATGAACAAGAAAATAATGAACTATCAAATTCTATTGCAAAACTATACTACTGAACAGAAGCTTACATGTCATTGACTTCTCTCGTATCTTGAACGTGGGATTCCAAACCCTCAACTTTCTCACCGGGGCCCTCTTCACCATAATGAAGTGGACTAGCCATGTTTAAAGGTGAAAATTCAGAAATTCCATGGTTGGTGCCTGATACAGGAGGATCTATGCTCTTCAAAGTATGCTCTGAAGTATCACATTCAATATCAGGATTTTCTGCTTCACAATGGCTCAATTCATCTTTGTCTTTGTTTTTGTCCTTCATAGGCAACTCATCAATTGAACTTTCATTAAGCCCAGTACCAGCCTCACTTCTGTCCATATTTGGCGATAAATGCCCTGGACTTCCCATAATGTGACAATCAGAAAAACCACCACTAAGATCTTTACCACCAACATGGTCTCCAGAATCTGGTAACTCATTAATAGAGCATTCATGACTTTGGGTGTTCGGACTCTCAGCTTTTTTATCGGCATTCACTACCACAACTGATTTAGCATTTTCCTCCAAGACTACAGGGTTTAAACTGGTAGAGAATCCAGAAGCATCAACCCCTGACGTATTAATGCCCAAAGAGTCTTCACTCTGCAGTCCCAATCCAGTCCCTGTATTACTTTCTACAGTCATAGGAGGGCATGAGCTTGTGGAAGAATGATGACAACCAATAGTAGACATCTTTGTGACTGAAGATTCATAATTACATCTATCATCTTCAGCAGCATTAGCTGACATGGCTTCTAGAGCACGATGAAGACGCTTAGATGGAGGTAAAACAGCTTCGCCATCAACCGAGCAACCAAATGATTGGTCATTCTTGGTGTTCCAAAGCTGAGGTCTGTTTCCCAAAATGCCACTGCAACCTCCAGATGGTGTAATATTATCCAAAACTTCATTTACCACAGACAAGTCCCTACCAGAAGGGCAATTTTCATCACAATTTGATAATGTGCTGACTGGCCCCAATGGATTGAGTACAACTTCCTTGTGACTTTCTTCAGTGTGTGCAAAGCTAGCTACTTCCTCGTGAGCAGAACATTGTTTGCCCATTCGCACCCTCGCTCGTTTCACCAATGGCAGGTGCTCATCTCCATCTTCCTTGGAGGAATTTCCATTCATCTTCCCACAATCATTCTGTATAGTTTGATTACTACTTTGCTTTACCTCCAAAACTGTCTCCTTGTCCACCATAGCAATAGGCTCAGCTGCATCATTAGTAATTCGCTTTCTGTTTGGCTTCCTTTTCTTCTTGATAACAACAGCCTTTATTTGGAGATCAAGTCTTTTGACCAACTCAGCATCACCATCCAAGCATTCGGCAACAGCCTCCGAGTGTTCACCTTTACAACCAGAATCAACAGCACTGCCTTCATTCAGACTAAATGTATCAGAATCAACTGTCGCAACTTCAGAACCATTATCTTCAATACAACCATTTGAAACAAAAGCAGCTGAATTCACATCATCACACTCAGAGGCATCAGGTGATTTCCGTACTCGTTTATTCCTTCTTAGACATCCATTCCGAACTACATTACCAGATACTTCCCCAGCATTCTTGTCATCATCATCACATGACATTCTTGAGTTGCGTACTCTACGTGATTCCATCCTGGATGAACTTCTTGACCTACGAGCTTGTGCTTCCTCTTTCTGTGATCGCAAGTCTCTTGATCTCTTTCTTGAAGAGTAGGTCACTGGAAGAGGTGTTTCAGTAATCGTTGCTGTAGCAGCAGGTTCCTCAATTAAGGCCTCCTTATCGTGCATGGCATCTACTTGTGCAGTTGCTGAAGCATTCTCGACAGAAACACTTGGCTCATTTCTATCAATTGTTGAATGTGAAGATTTAGAATGTGAATCCAGAATTGCTTCAGGAACTTCTGACTGATCCTCTGAACGCAAGTTGGACAAAGAATCCACTGTGTTCCTTCCATTTGCGGTGGATTTGAAATCATCAACTTGGTCCTCTTTCTTCAGCTTATCATAACTATCAATAATCTCCTTGACTGCACGAACAAAATCAGCACCTTTTCCGTGACGCTTGCCCAGAAGAGACTGTTTTTTCTCCTCAGTAAATGCCTCAACGTCTGCAGGGTTGCAGAACGCTCTGCATAACAAAAATACGCAATAGAATTAAGACAAACAGCAAGATAATATCCAATGGGACTCCTAGTGCACAGGTACAAAATCAGTTGGATTTGTTAGTCAATGACTCAATATCAACACGATCAAAGGGGCATGTGATGCAATATAACGAAAAAATAGAGATGTTTTTACACATTAGTATTGAAGGTGATAGGACAAGAACTCGAAGGTGAATATATATCTATATACTATACTGGTGATACACCCCCATATTAACCAATTATGTATTAGCTTATGATATTTATATTTCATTATTGATTGGTTTAGCATTTATTAAAGCCCCGTTCACAATTTCCATGTTTTTAAGATAATTTCCATCATTTCCATAATCTTTACTAGTATTCCCCTTTATATGTGACCAGATCATACGGGAGTTTTCAGGATCCACAACTTTAAAGGCCAGAATCTGAGCTTACAATCCTTCACAAAGCCCTCTGGGATGAAAAAAATATGCACAAACGTACACAAATGTAAGGACACTCCTGTGCACATCCACATGAACAATACAAGTAAAGGGAAAGAAGAGATACTATTTTAGTGTATCAAATATAATTCTAGGCAACAAGTAGATAAGACAAACTAACTCATCCTTCATCAACAAAGGCTATGGAAACATACTTACACAAGTCTTGCATGTTAAGCCACAATTCAGATAGGAGAAAATGCACCAGTCTCAAACATGCTTCAGAATTTATTACCAGAAGCCCAAGAGTGAACCCCGAATAGAGTATGTCTTTTTACTTAAAACAGAACAGCATTCATCCCTAACATCTCCCATAGATCAACCCACCCAAGTTATATACCTATAAACACATACAGGGAAATGTCCTCTTTCCAGAATATCTGGCATGTTAGGCTGCTAGATTGTCAACAGGGACAACTGATCAAGTTGTTACTTGAATGTGCAGTTCAGATTAACAGTCTTGCAACATAGGATATTTGGCGCAATTACGATAGAAGAAAATACACCAGTCTCAAACATGCTTTACAATTTATTACCAGAAGTCCAAGAGTGAACCCTGGATAGAGTATGTCTTTATACCCAAAACGGAACAGCATTCGTCCCAAACATCTCCCATAGATCAACCCACCTAAGTTATATACCTATAAACATATACAGGGAAATGTTCTCTTTCCGGAAATGTCCTCTTTCCAGAATGTCCGGCATGTTAGGCTGCCAGATTATCAACAGGGATAACTGATCAGGTTGTTACTTGAATATGCGGTTCAGATTAACAGTCTTGCAACATAGGATATTTGACAAGAGAACATTACCCTATATATGATGGAATAAAAATATATAAATTCTTCCTCCTTTATACATTCACCTCAAAGCAAAGACAAATAAAACAATCAGGTCCCAAACCAATCCTCACTTATACTCTAATAAAGGGTACAGAATAATCACACCCACCATTCATCATTCAGTACCAAACAATAAAACTTACTACAGTTCAATTAAACCAATCAGAAACTAACAAGTATTCACTATGGAGAACATCTTTCCCTAATCATAATGTAATAATTACTGGCAGATTCGTTATGTTAGGCGCAGACAGCAATTTCAAATGTGGTCCTTGTAACTGCTATTCAACCCATTCTACATGCATATTTCTACATTTGTGGAAAAAAATGAATTTTATCCCTTCAAAAGAACCCTTCAGTCAACTTCCCGAAAACTAAAACAAAGTTCTCAGGAGTTTCTTTACCCCCATCACTTTAACTGTACTTCAATATGCACAAAATGACCAGAAATAAGTAAAATTGTGTTATCCAGAAACAGAAACTGTAAACAGAATGAAAAATTCTCAGTGGGAGAACTAAAACCAGTTAAGTACATTCCTCAGTATTGATGCAACCTATATTGGCGTCCATCCAATAAAATATCACAATCAAATCTAGAATTCGACTCACAGCCTCAGACTATTCTCATAAGAACTATACTACTCTTCTTAACTGATAAAATATATCCGTAACCCACAATGTCAGTAAATAATATAGTCCTCCAAAAGCTTTGTTTCTCCGATGTGGGACTACTAAGTAAAGGTTACTGTACTTGGAGGGTGAACCTGAAACTTCCTCATTTTAGTCCCATATTTGCAAGCTTACCAGCTATTTGTATGATTCGACATAGGGTACAAAAGACAAAGAAACTAGTAAGATTCAGAAACTCTTCAACTTATTGGGAAGTAAACCAGTATAAGCAACCCGTCTTTGGATTTTGGCATAACTATAGAACTTCAGATCGTGAATAAAACCAACTACTAAATCCATCCCCATTCTTTTGATATCTGTTAAATAATTCTTATTTTTAAGGTTTAAATATGATATGAAACAAATTAAATAAGCCAAATGAAAACAAGAGAAAGAAATTATATGCTAAAGAGAGGAAGAGAGCAAATTCATATCAAATAAATCACTTTACATATAACGTGTCAGCTTGATTAAATAATTATACTCTCTTGTCTTTTGCACAACATTGTTGGTGCATTTAAAGGAATGAAGAACTAAAAGTTGCTTATTGACATTGCCACTGTCCCTATCCAAATGGCCATGTTTGATCCCGACTTAATGGAATAGGATAAGGGCCATAACTAATAACAACAAATCATCAGTAACAGACAAGTTTTGGCTGTTATTACTCGCCACTACACTTTTCTAGTGCCATCCCTATTTTTCAGAGGCAATCTATAGAAAAATATCCACAACTACAGTTTGGTGTACCATCTTCATGTACAACTAACTGGACGAGGAGGACCAAAATGAAGGATAGACGCAATAACAGTGGTAGCAATTTTAAATTCACCAAATACATATATACAGTCTAGTCTAGCAACACAAGTTAAGATACCAATTTTAAAAGACAAGAATGATGTAATCAGCTTCAATCTTCAAAACTCAGTACAATCATAGTAATCATACCTTACTCAAACAACATGACATCATATTATCATAAAGTACAAAGTTAACTTCCGTCAGTAAGTCTGATCTGAAAGGAAAGCCATAACTAATCAATTGTTGACTTGCACAACAGTGGAAACCACCACCGTTGATCTTAGTTAAAGTTAATCAAGAAGGTATTAAGTACTTACATCTGTTGGGTTCCAAAGAAGAAGACTAGAACTTTCTTCCAATCAGCAGAGTAGCCCCACTTCTCTGGTTCACTTACCTGCAGCCAGAAAAACCAACTTGATAATCACTCACACTGAACATAAAAAGAGACACAATTTTCTGCATTCACCATTGGGAATCACTGGAAAGCAAGTCTAATACTGAAAGCATGTGAAGAATCAAAAATCAATGCAGTGGCTGCACTTTCAAACCACTGTGCATGAGAATCACAGGTAAATAAGATTAAGGGAGCTTCAACCCCCTGATAGGAAATAAATAAACTTTTTCCCAATCTAATTGCAGAAAAATGAAGCGTCACATCGAACTCCCATTTCCACATGCAAAGAAAAAGAATACGAGAATCCTAATTTCAAAAGGATAATACAGAAATCTGAGGCACCCATGCATTTCCACTTTCATTTAACACTTCCAACTACCAAGATTAAAGTAAAATAACAATATCCCAAACAACAGAAATTGCAAAGCCGAAATATTTACTCAATGAAATTAACCAAAGAAAGAAATTCAAAATTTCAGATCCAGAAAACCAAACCAACACGGTAACAAACTAACTAAGCTTGCAGAAAAGCACAAAAACCCTAATTAAAGCATATTCCTCAACTGGGTAGCCGTCTTCACTCAGCATACAGCCTAAATAAACCGATAACAGTTCAATTTTCGGAGAAGAAGACTTACGGTAGCCGGCCAAGCAGGGAAGCCTTTGACTTTAGCAAGTACAAGATCGCCGACCTTCCATTGGCGGCAAGCAGCGGCGGCCTGAGCGGCCTTGCTAACTCCCTTCCTCCGGCTGGGAGCCATCAAACAACCAGCGGACGCCGCTCCAATTCAATCGGAACCCGCTATTTAAACCGAAACGAATACACGACGAACTCCGGGACGGCGTGCCGCAATCGCCCAAGGAATTGAACAATCTGGCACTTCGAGGAAAATCTCAGCCGGAGATTCGCAGGCATTGAAGCACGAAGATCGATCGGCAACTGAGAGAGAGAGGGAGCGACTGAGTCGAAACCCTAATTCTAGAGAGAGAAAGATGGGGTGGGGGCGGAGAGAGAAAGAGGTGGGGGGATGAGTATGATAGAAGAGGGTTTTTATGTGGAAGAAGCGCACACGCAGAGATGATGAGTTGGTTAGGTGAAGCGGAGACTAACATGCGCTGGGGATGCGTAGGGTAGTGTAAGTTTTGTTTGGGCCCAGTGCTGGAGCGTGCTAACGTACGCTGGGGAGGTGATACCCAAAATCCAGAAGGCCATGTTTCGAAGTGGAAACTCGGAACTCGAAACTACAATTCTGTTCGGAAATGGGCCGTGGCCCAATATGTACGCAAAGGCCCAGTTCATATTTTTGTTTTAACAATATTGGGCTCGTTTAGAAAGTATTTTTAAAATTACTGAAAATGTTTTTCTAACGAATTCTTAGTAAAAACGCAAGTGAATTCTAGGAAATTACTTAATTCAAATGCTTTTGGAACAAAAAATATTCTCGCTAAAAACGCTTTCAGTTATTTAAAAGTACATTTAAACGAGCCCATTATCTATTATTTTATATGAATAAAAACTACAATCACCAATAAAAAAAACATGGTAATAGTAATCTTCTCATATTCACATTTAATGTGTTTAGTAGTTATAGAGGGGGTTCAAAAAACTGAACCAAAGTCTAAGAATCGAAAATCGAAAAAAAAAAAAATTGAACTGAACTGAATTTTATTGGTTTGGTTTCAAGAGTTCGGAAACCAAACTGAACCCAACCAAAACCCTTCAAAACGACAATGTTTTACATTTAATATTTGACCTTAAGGTCTCTAACGAACCTGCTCAGCTGCTCTCACTCACATCTCACCTTTAGCGCCATCTAATTGACTCCTAATTCTTTCAAAACCTCTAAACGTGATGAGAGTTATTGAATAAAGAGTTGTTTTACTCTTCTTGGTTCAATATTTTATTTGGACTGTGACTTTCATTTGATTCTTTACGTTCTCGTTTCGGGTTTTTTATAGTTCTTGCATGATTTGACGTTGTGTTATGCAGAATCAACAAAAGTATAGCTGGAGAAACAAAACGAAGAAAACAGAACCGAACTCATCCCTAAAAAGACAAGACTTCATGAACTTATAACTTTACTACTGTAAGTAACCATAATCTAGATTTAGCACATTAGGTAGGCACTATTAACTAAATTTAGTTAATGAGATCAATGAAAAAGATGCACATCCGGTGATATATCAAAGCTCTTGCAACCCCACATCTGTAGTCATAACTTCGTCCTTCTAAAAGGGCAACCCCAAGCCAATAAAGCTTCCCGGTTTGTCGAAGTCGGGAAAAAGAGGAGAACATCTATTGTACGCATGCTTACTCTTACTTTGCAAAGAAGTTGTTTCCACCGATTTAACACCGTCCTTCTATGCTTCAAAAAATAAATACTTTTATACACGTCTTTCCTGCCTTTGGATAGTAAACAAAGTACGAAGCAATACTTTTTGCAAGCAAGGATCATACATTCACAAAGCAAGGATAGTAAACAAAGTATGTACGATGCAATACTTACATTTAAGAATGACACAACAAACTAACATATAGATCTATCCTCAATTTCTAAATACCAGAATAAAAAATGTCACTCGAAAGACCTGAGAATATATAGATACGACGTGCTAGTCACATTAGTATGAATAGTAACGACAGTTATATGGAGCATATTAACAACTAATAGACAATGGCATTGCTCAACAGAACAAAAAATCTTACCCACTAACATCAAGAACAACCCTAGAAATCTTCATCTTTTTGGTGGTTCTGTTATACAAATCCTCCAAAAATCTTACATATTGCACCATCTTTCTATTAAAGACGGAACTGACCAATACCATAGTACCATTTTTATGTGATAATGATAAAATAGCATTTTTGAACTGAAATACCAACACATTTACATGCCGTTTTTTGAAATACCGTTTTGTCTTGTCCCTGACAAAGTGAATGGTAATTTTTGGATTCCGCAGATCAACCACCTTCTTCCCTCATTGATACTTCGCTCCGTAACTTGACCGCGTCACGACAAAAAGATGGAACCGAAAGCCAAACAAACTTTAGGTAAATCGATTGAGTCACACGTGGAAGCACATTATCCCAACACGTGTGAGGGAACAACCCTATAAATCTTCATCTTTTTGGTGGTTCTATTATAAAAATCCTCCAAAAAGATTACAAATTGTACTATCTCTCTATTAAAGACAGAACCGACCAATACACATAGTACGATTTCCATGTGATAAAATAACTTTTTTGAATTGAAATACCAACACAATTACATGCCGTTTTTTGGAATACCATTTTGTCGTACCCCTGACAAAGTTGAACGGTAATTTTTGGATTCCGCAGAACCACTTTCTTCCCTCATTGATACCTTGCTCCGTAATTTGACCGTGTCACGACAAAAAGATGGAACCGAACGTCAAACAGACTTTAGGTAAGTCGATTGAATCACACGTGGAAGCACATTATCCCAACACGTGTGAGGCGGATTATCCAGTGGACTCGTGTTCGACATCCCGCGACAATCGACATCAAAGAACGCTCTCAGATATTTTTCGCCACCAAAAAGATATTTCCGATTCCGAAATACAAACTAGTACGTGGCAGCTCCTCAATTATTCCCAATTCCTGGACTCGCTATCGCAATGATCTACGCAATTGCAAACTACCACGCGTCCGTTGGCGAATAAGTAGTCGACACGTACCCACGACTGGCCAACCACTAAGGACGGGACGCGTGTCCAGATACTGTATTCACGGCGCCACTATATATCAGCTCGCGGCCCTAGCTGCATCTTGAAAGGGAGTCGAAATTCAGTCGGAATTTTCGCGATGAATGCGAACCGGCGACTGAGACCGAACCCGCCGAGCGAGCGGTCCGACTCAGACGACAACGGGATCCTGAATGAGCGGATACTCTTTCTCGTCTTCCAGTCCATGGACTGGGACATCCAAGCGCTCTCCTCGACCGCGTCGGTGAATCACAAGCTCCGGGCGATCGTGAAGCGGCTGCTGTGGCGGGAGCTCTGCAAGTACCGCGCCCCCGCATGGTGGCGGCGCTGGAGAACTGTGCGCCCAACGGCCGGATCGGCGGCGGATGGCACACGCTCGCGAAGCTCATGTTCTTCTGCGGCGGATGCGAGCCGACTCGGAATTTCAAGGTGAGTCAACCTACCCCGGGTCACCTCGTCAAATCGTCGCGATTCTCAAAGACGTCGGGGCAGAGCTTCCTCACGAAGAAGTGCCGCGGCGATTTGCTGTACGTCAGCGACCCCTGCGAGCATCCGATGGGGGAGAAGGAGGACGATCTGGGGATTTACAGAGGGGTATTTAAGGGATTTGACAAGTCGCGGACGAGGGCGTATTTGATCGGACGGCGGGTGAAGCTCGAGGAGCGGGTAAGGTGTCCTTATTGTGGGGCCCCCGTGTGGAGCATGACTACGGCGGGGCTCGTTCCGAAGAGCGCGGCGCGGCGGCTCGGCTCGCACCACGGCGCGTTGGAGTATTTTGTTTGTGTGAGCGGGCACATGCACGGCATGTGCTGGCTCGTGCCGCTGTCGGACGATGAGAATGGATTGACCGAGATGGACGGCTGTGATGATTCGGATTTCGGTGATGATGATTACGGTGGGGTCCGCAGAATCAGCTACGACGATCGGACGGCTACGAATGGAAGCATTGGGTCGATGGGGGAGGAAGTTGTGGTGGACGGGCCCGCAAAGTGACAGCCTATCTGTCTGTTGCTTTTCTGTATTCCCGGTGATTCGCACTGTTGCGTGTCGTTTTGCTGATGTGGAGATTTTTTGTTAGGTGTATGATGATGTGGAGGTTTGGATAACATTAAGTTAGGCTGACGTGTAATTTCGTACATTTTCGTTGGAATTATATTTGTGGAAAGTAGTGATGGGGGAATATGGGATTTTGTATCGCCACTTGGGTTTGTCGATTCTATCGACCACAAATCGCATATTCCAAGTTCTTGTTCTTTTGTTTCTTTCGTTGTACTGTTGAATCCCCTTTGTTTAATTTGTGGGTTTGATATTTATTAGTAAAAACTCTTTTGGAATGTCAGGATTCCGAGAAGTAAATGTCGTAACTATTTAAGTTATATTACTTTAAAAATCGAACATAATACAGTTTATATTAAATTAATAGATCCAAGGAGGTTCACCAATAATATCATTGATCGATATTGTCTTAATTTAATCATAGACGTCGAGTTTTATCACAAAAGATATTGGTGATATTAAGAGGGGAAACTCACGTATTCATTGTGTATTATTTTGCCATAGGACAAATACGGGATCATATTCTCCAATACATGCCCTTATAAATCGTCCAACACGAGGTCACAAGGGGCGAGAATTGGTTAAGTCATTATATCGGAACTAACGCCAATCTTTTCGAGAACCGGTTTAATCGGTTTCAATCTTTGGAGCCAACACCTGCCAAACTTTTTGCAGGCGTATCCATTCAGTTGCCTTAAGTTGGAGCTAGCTCATCTTTTTAAAAGCCCAACTTTAGGAAGCATGTTTGAGCACAATAACTCAAGCATAGGACTTGCCAAAAGAATAGCTTGGTCTGTTACCATGATAAACTTACATGCTCAAAATGGTCCACGACCAATATTACTGGTATTTTCTCAACTTAACCATTTGTTACTAGTTGTTGAGTTTTATAACAAAATGTCTTGGTGATATAAAGATCAATCGCAAATTCGATTGGTCTCATTTGAATTTGATTTATTACAAGTATATTGTTTAGATTATCAAATTGAAAAGTATCTGTTCTTTGTTATACATTTACAATGTAATCAAGCAAATAACATCAAACACAATATTAAGAGGGGAAACTCACGTATAAATTGTGTATTATTTTGCCATGAGACAAATACGGGATCATATTCTCCAATACGCGCCCTCATCAATCACCCAACATGAGGTCACAAGGGACGGGAATTGGTTAAATCATTATACCGGAAATAACGCCAATCTTTTTGAGAACTGGTTTAATCGGTTTCAGTCTTTGAAGCAAATGCCAATCTTTTTGAAGGCATATGCATTCAGTTGCCTTAAGTTGGAGCTAGCTTATCTTTTCAAAAGCCTAACTTTAGGAAGCATATTTGAGCCCACTAACCCAGGCACAGGACGTGCCGAAAAAATAGTCTGGTCTGACGCCATGATAAACTTACATGCCCAACAAGGTCCACCATCAATATCACTGATATTTTCTCAACTTAACCATTCGTTACTAGTTGTTGAGATTTATAACACAATGTCTTGGTGACATAAAGATCAATCATAAATTAGATTGGTCTCATTTGAATATGATTTATTACAAGTAGATTGTTTAGATTATCAAATTGAAAAGTATATATTCTTTGTTATACATTTACAATGTAATCAAGCAAATAACATCAAACGCAAACAAAGTAATTTTTTTTTTTAACAAACAAACTAATATTTGAGGGAAGAATAAAAACCACGAATAATTAAGAGTGTGTACAAGAAGAAAAATTATGTCCAATCAATTGGATGCGGATTGTTGTTTGGAATACATGCAATTCTACCACTAAAATTACACTAAGTTTGCCACTTAGTACTACGGTCCAGTGATATTCCTCTTCACTTGTAAGTGAGAAATCTTAGGTTCGGTTCTTGCTAAAGGCAAATTTGAACCATATTATTGCTAGCCCATTGCGAGGCTAAGCCCACCTCTCTCCCCTTAGTTTAGATAATATCATTTGTTAAATGAAATTTAACTAGAACTAGTGGTTGTACTACGGTCTAGTGATATTTATCTTCAGTTGTAAGTAAGAGATATCAGGTTCGATTCTCGCCAAAGGCGAATTTGAATCACATTATTGCTAGTCCATTGTGAGGCTAAGCTCACCCCGACTTAGTACTACGGTCTATGTGTATTCCTCTTCACTTATAAGTAAAAGGTCTTAGAGCCACTTAGTACTACGACTTGATGGTATTCATCTTCATTTGTAAGTGAGAGGTTTTAGGTTCGATTATCGTCAAAAGCGAATTTGAACCACATTATTGTTAGTCCATTGTGAGGCTAAAACCACCTCCTCTCCTTTAGTGTAAATAATATCGTTTGTTAAAAAAAAATATCAAGTGATGAAAAAAAAAATTACACTAAAGCTACGTTTGGTATGTTAGATCATATCCAAATGAAATGTCAAATATGTCAAATAGGATTAAAAGACATTTAGGTGTTCTCCAATGGATATGCCAGATATGATGTGGCATGTGAGTCATTTGACTCCTGACTTTCTAACTGTCTTTTTTTAACAGCAAACAAAGAATGAGTCCAATATAGTTAATTGAATTTTTTAATACATGGGTTCCATTAACAACCAATAGAATAAAAACTATAATTATTTTTTATTATTTTTTAATAGTTAATGTAACTTTAGGCCCAATAAGATAATAAAATAAATATTTGACACATTCAGTGAAAAAAAAAAAAAAGAATTCAACACTTGTATTCAATTTACCACATCAACCATCAAATAAAATTTTGACATATTATATATTAGATGCTCTTGGAAGAAAGTGTTGCCTTTCCCATGTTAAGTCGGGCTTGGGAAACGATTTCTTGATTCATGATAAAGTAGGAGGGAAAGTAAAGCCTTACGCCCTTCTCATGGATGACACAAAAAAGCATTGATTGTCTTTTTAGGACAAATATATAACAATGAAAAATGCTCATTATGTCCTAAAAAGTGGTATTTTTGTTGAAATAGACTTAATTAACTTGGAATCCTCTCGTAATTTTAGAAATGTAATCTTGTATTTGTATTTGTTTTAGAATTTCTTCATATTAACCATTGTAAACTATTAATTAGAGGATTCATGTTTCTACATAGCAGTATAGGGTTGTCCCATGTGTGAAGCTCCACGGTTGCACGTGCTTCATGTCATCAGATTTGTGTTGTTCGCGTGTTAGACTTGAAAATTCACCACACGTAAAGGGACGGGTTGAGAGTATAAATTCCACATCAAGAAATAATAAATCTTGAATGTGCTTGTACGTAGTTGAGCTCTTATTTATACAATTGCTTTCTTAATTTGGAATTTGCATTTCTCTTCCTCAAGGAAAATATATGATAAATCATTTCTTGTGAATTCTTGTCAGTGTACCAAACACAATCTAAAAAGGATGAGAGAGAATTCAAAACACCCAAATCACCAGGACAATCTATCTTTTACAACTGGAGGCGGGTTGTAGTTAATGGATTTTATCTTGTAATATTCTTTCAATAATAATAATAATAAAGCATATTTTAAAAGAAAAAGAAAAGAAAGTAAAGTAATTGAAGGGGCATTTCAGTCAAAAGAACAAATTCAAATGATATTCCCTACAACATTCAGAAGCGCGAGTCCGGCGACACCAAACATGCCTCCGACCTTGTTGGCGCCATCCAACCGCTCTCTCTTCCGTTTCCTGTTCCTCCGTGTAGAAGACCGTTCGTGATCCCTTAACCTATAACTTCCACTGCGTCAAAACTGATCGCCGTCATCGAGGTCTTGAATTTGAATTCAGGAGGGGAATAATTAATCAATTAATTAATAAAAATGGCAAATTTTCAAGATGTCCTGATGTCCGCCGCCATCAACATGTTGATTGCGTTCGGATTTCTAGTTGCGTTTGGGCTGCTGCGGCTGCAGCTGTTCAACGACAGAGTCTATTTTCCGAAATGGTACTTCAAGGGGATGAGGGGGAGCCCCACGAGCTCCGGCGCCTTCGTCAAGAAATTCGTCAATTTGGACGCTAAAACCTAGATCAAGTTCCTTAATTGGATGCCTGCCGTGCTGCGGATACTCGAACCGGAGCTCATTGATCACGCCGGCCTTGATTCCGCCGTTTACATTCGGATTGCTACTTCCTTCATGCTTTTGCTAATTTTAATTTTTTGAGTTAATTGTGAAATATGTCCTTCAGGTTTGGGGTCAATTTCAAAGAGGGCCACAACATTTTGATTTTGTAGTGCTGCTAAAGTATTAACGATTCAAGTCATTTTTGTGTCTAACATAACTTGGACGACACAAAAAAGTTGCTATGAGGTACTTGTTGTGCTATGAAGCATAGACACTTCAGTTTTCTCGATACTTCAGCTGATACGACACTTGTCGGATACTCGCTGGATACAAATATTCTGATTTCAGGATACCTTGACACATTTTAGATGGGAAATTAAGAGGAAAAATTAGTAGGAAACATAGATCTAGTTGAAAGTTGATGATACAAAGAGCTTGCCTCTAATTGAAATAATGAATACAACTCTCACACATGAATGAACTTGGATTTGGATATTTTCATGTTAAAACATGTTAAAATATGTTAAATGAATGAATAGTATATTGCAAGGCTATGGAAAGTGATGGGCTAAATAGTTTTCGTATATTATTGCCAAAGTAAAAGTACAATATATATACACAACCAAGTCAACTAAATATCTCTACAATAATGCCTGGGAGATCGCATCCATCTTTTAATGGGATTTCACATCAACTACTTTTAGGAAAACTTATTATACAATATATTATATGATCTTTTCTTAATACTCCCCCTCAAGTTAGAAAGTGAATATCATGAGGTCCCAACTTGTCATGCAATTTCACAAGTTGATCTTTCCCTAAAGCCTTTGTGAATAAATCTGCTAACTAGAAATGTGTAGGTACATGTGAAGGACTAATCATTCTAGCTTATAGTTTTTCTCGAACGATGTGACAATCAATTTCAATATGTTTCGTTCGCTCATGAAAAGTGGGATTACCTGCAATATATAGAGCGGCTTGATTGTGACAAAATAATGGTGTGGGACATTTCTGCGAAACCTTTAAATCTTGCAATATATAGCGCAACCATATTAGCTCTAAACATGTGTTAGCCATAGCTCAGTATTCGGCTTCTGCAGATGATCGATAAACATTACCTTGTTTCTTGGATTTCCATGAGATAAGGGAATTTCCAAGAAAGACACAATACCCAGTAACTAACCTTCTTGTGCTACGACAACTGCCCCAATCGGAATCACAAAAGGCCTTTAATTCAAG